AATTGGATATGTTGTATAAATCAGTGTACACTTATAAAAATCATTTTCTATAGAAGAACAAAAAACAGAAAAATATGTCTAAACGAAAGGACCATAGTCCTTAACAGTCACCTGACTACAAAAACTTTCAGCAGGGAGATGGGTTATTTTTTCTACTTTGAATGAAATCTAAGAAGTTGTTTTTGATGATGCAGATGGTAGTTTTGGTGAGAAGTAGGCGACTGTAACAAGTGTTACCTACTTTTTACAGTAAAGTTGGAGCGCAATCCCAATGGTAAAACTTGAGAAGTTGAGATGGCGGTGATCTTGGATTTCAAACATACCCGAAAAATAACAACACTTGGTCAGGACCATCTCAGGATCATTTCATGCAAGTGTGAGCTCAATCCCACTGATTGAACTTCAGAAGAAAATTGAAATGTCAAAAGTTTATGCACAGCAGACGACAACGGACGAACCATGATGGCGAAAAAGTGGATTTTTTAACTGAAGCTTCATGTAAAAACAAACCTTTCATACCATGATCATGTGTGATGCAATACTTTTTGAAATTTTCTGACCAATACCGATAAGTGAAATACTGATGTATATATGTACATGTCAGTACTATCTGATGTGTAGAAACTTATACACAATCTGGACCATTAACTGATACACAATCTGATCCATCTAGATATTATAGAATTATCAGCAGAAAGCATTCTTTTTTCCAATGGAGGAAATTATTTTTTACCTCCAGTTAAAAACAATGCAAGTCCTGTGTAACATATAGTGTTTGTTCTTCTTCAGCTTTTGGTTATATTTGGTCCACTCTACTTCAGTATGTATCACAGCCTTCTTGTTATAATGAATTTGATGGATGTTTAGAGATGATTTACCCCGTATGGCTTTATTGTCATTACAAAAAGTATTTTCTATTATCAATCACATGTTTGTTAGTAAATGCAGGTTTGTTGTTCTCATTTTAGTAAATGCAGGGTTATTGTTCTCATTTTGGTAAATGCAGGGTTATTGTACCCATTTTGGTAAATGCAGGTTTGTTGTACCCATTTTGGTAAATGCAGGTTTGTTGTTCCCATTTTAGTAAATGCAGGGTTATTGTTCTCATTTTGGTAAATGCAGGGTTATTGTACCCATTTTGGTAAATGCAGGTTTGTTGTACCCATTTTGGTAAATGCAGGGTTATTGTACCCATTTTAGTAAATGCAGGGTTATTGTACCCATTTTGGTAAATGCAGGTTTGTTGTACCCATTTTGGTAAATGCAGGTTTGTTGTACCCATTTTGGTAAATGCAGGTTTGTTGTTCTCATTTTGGTAAATGCAGGTTTGTTGTTCTCATTTTGGTAAATGCAGGGTTATTGTACCCATTTTGGTAAATGCAGGTTTGTTGTACCCATTTTGGTAAATGCAGGTTTGTTGTACCCATTTTGGTAAATGCAGGTTTGTTGTACCCATTTTGGTAAATGCAGGTTTGTTGTACCCATTTTGGTAAATGCAGGTTTGTTGTACCCATTTTGGTAAATGCAGGTTTGTTGTACCCATTTTGGTAAATGCAGGTTTGTTGTACCCATTTTGGTAAATGCAGGTTTTGGTAAATGCAGGTTTGTTGTACATTTTGGTAAATGCAGGTTTGTTGTACCCATTTTGGTAAATGCAGGTTTGTTGTACCCATTTTGGTAAATGCAGGTTTGTTGTACCCATTTTGGTAAATGCAGGTTTGTTGTACCCATTTTGGTAAATGCAGGTTTGTTGTACCCATTTTGGTAAATGCAGGTTTGTTGTACCCATTTTGGTAAATGCAGGTTTGTTGTACATTTTGGTAAATGCAGGTTTGTTGTACCCATTTTGGTAAATGCAGGTTTGTTGTACCCATTTTGGTAAATGCAGGTTTGTTGTACCCATTTTGGTAAATGCAGGTTTGTTTTTGGTAAATGCAGGTTTGTTGTACCATTTTGGTAAATGCAGGTTTGTTGTACCCATTTTGGTAAATGCAGGTTTGTTGTACCCATTTTGGTAAATGCAGGGTTATTGTTGTAAATGCAGGTTTGTTGTACCATTTTGGTAAATGCAGGTTTGTTGTTCCCATTTTGGTAAATGCAGGGTTATTGTACCCATTTTGGTAAATGCAGGTTTGTTGTTCCCATTTTGGTAAATGCAGGGTTATTGTACCCATTTTGGTAAATGCAGGGTTATTGTACCCATTTTAGTAAATGCAGGTTTGTTGTTCTCATTTTGGTAAATGCAGGGTTATTGTACCCATTTTGGTAAATGCAGGTTTGTTGTTCTCATTTTGGTAAATGCAGGGTTATTGTACCCATTTTGGTAAATGCAGGTTTGTTGTTCTCATTTTGGTAAATGCAGGGTTATTGTACCCATTTTAGTAAATGCAGGGTTATTGTACCTAAATGCAGGGTTATTGTACCCATTTTAGTAAATGCAAGTTTGTTGTTCTCATTTTGGTAAATGCAGGGTTATTGTACCCATTTTAGTAATGCAGGGTTATTGTACCCATTTTGGTAAATGCAGGGTTATTGTACCCATTTTAGTAAATGCAGGTTTGTTGTTCTCATTTTGGTAAATGCAGGGTTATTGTACCCATTTTGGTAAATGCAGGGTTATTGTACCCATTTTAGTAAATGCAAGTTTGTTGTTCTCATTTTGGTAAATGCAGGGTTGTTGTTTTTGGTAAATGCAGGTTTGTTGTTCCCATTTTGGTAAATGCAGGGTTATTGTACCCATTTTGGTAAATGCAGGGTTATTGTACCCATTTTAGTAAATGCAGGTTTGTTGTACCCATTTTGGTAAATGCAGGGTTATTGTACCCATTTTAGTAAATGCAGGTTTGTTGTTCTCATTTTGGTAAATGCAGGGTTATTGTACCCATTTTAGTAAATGCAAGTTTGTTGTTCTCATTTTGGTAAATGCAGGGTTATTGTACCCATTTTAGTAAATGCAGGGTTATTGTACCCATTTTGGTAAATGCAGGGTTATTGTACCCATTTTAGTAAATGCAGGTTTGTTGTTTTCATTTTGGTAAATGCAGGGTTATTGTACCCATTTTGGTAAATGCAGGTTTGTTGTTCCCATTTTGGTAAATGCAGGGTTATTGTACCCATTTTAGTAAATGCAGGTTTGTTGTTTTCATTTTGGTAAATGCAGGGTTATTGTACCCATTTTGGTAAATGCAGGTTTGTTGTTTTCATTTTGGTAAATGCAGGGTTATTGTACCCATTTTAGTAAATGCAGGGTTATTGTACCCATTTTAGTAAATGCAGGGTTATTGTACCCATTTTGGTAAATGCAGGTTTGTTGTTTTCATTTTGGTAAATGCAGGGTTATTGTACCCATTTTAGTAAATGCAGGTTTTGTTGGTAAATGCAGGTTTGTTGTTCTCATTTTGGTAAATGCAGGGTTATTGTACCCATTTTGGTAAATGCAGGTTTGTTGTTCCCATTTTGGTAAATGCAGGTTTGTTGTTCCCATTTTGGTAAATGCAGGTTTGTTGTTCCCATTTTGGTAAATGCAGGTTTGTACCCATTTTGGTAAATGCAGGTTTGTTGTTCCCATTTTGGTAAATGCAGGTTTGTTGTTCCCATTTTGGTAAATGCAGGTTTGTTGTTCCCATTTTGGTAAATGCAGGTTTGTTGTTCTCATTTTAGTAATGCAGGGTTATTGTACCCATTTTGGTAAATGCAGGTTTGTTGTTCCCATTTTGGTAAATGCAGGTTTGTTGTTCTCATTTTAGTAATGCAGGGTTATTGTACCCATTTTGGTAAATGCAGGTTTGTTGTTCTCATTTTGGTAAATGCAGGGTTATTGTACCCATTTTGGTAAATGCAGGTTTGTTGTTCCCATTTTAGAAAATGCTAACGCAAATCTGTCTGCTGAAGGTGACCTTGAAATCATCAAAACATCACACTCAAATCTTCTAATGGTTGGGTGATAAGAACTTCTATTATACTACAACAACCAACCTGAAGAAAATGTTCATAAATTGACAGTAATAAAGTTTCTTCAGTTTGTTTATAAATGTTTGACAAAAAAAAGGCAAATAAAAATTTGTATAATATTACCTGCACAATGTATAAGGTCCATTGCAAGGATATAATGAAAGTTATGAGATTTTGTTTGGTAATTGGAAAAAAAATTCAACTATAGCAGTTACATTATCTTGTATATACAACAACGGCACTCGTTTATTAGTTACAAACCTTGTAATACAACAACAGTACTCGTTAGTTACATTACCTGGTAATACAACAACACCACTAGTTATTTAGTTACATTACCTTGTAATACAACATTAACACTCGTTAATTACATTACTTTATGATACAGCAACAGCAGTACTTGTTAGTTACAAACTTTGTACTACAACAACAGTACTTGTTAGTTACAAACTTTGTAATACAACAACAGTTAGTTAGTTACATTACCTTGTACTACAACAACAGTACTTATTAGTTACAAACCTTGTAATACAACAACAGTTAGTTAGTTACATTACCTTGTACTACAACAACAGTACTTGTTAGTTACAAACCTTGTAATACAACAACAGTACTTGTTAGTTACAAACTTTGTACTACAACAACAGTACTTGTTAGTTACAAACTTTGTACTACAACAACAGTACTTGTTAGTTACAAACTTTGTACTACAACAACAGTACTTGTTAGTTACAAACTTTGTACTACAACAACAGTACTTGTTAGTTACAAACCTTGTAATACAACAACAGTTATTTAGTTACATTACTTAATAGTACAATAATACAACAACAGCACTCATTAGTTAGCAGGTGAAATACAACATATAGGATATCATTTTTACCTGGAGAAGGACATATCTATCAAATGCTATCTATTTCACAATAATTTCAACCATAAATTCTCAGCTGTTCCAAAACAATGTCACCTTGGATTTTCTATAAATGAAAATGAACATAGAGTATATCATTTCTCAAAACTGAAAAGAAATATTAAAGAAATGATTAACTATCTGATAAAAAGTTTAAATGCAATGTAAGTCTACTGTTGACAGATATGAGAAATATCATGAAGCAGCTTAAAAATAGGTGTAAATCATTTAGAAACTAATACAGTGTATTATTATATACTACATACCTCAGTCAAGTGATACTGAAGCAAAACGTATCTGATTCAAAACAGCAAAGCATCTAAAAGATCATATTCAAATTATTTCATGAAGTTTTCAGACATAACTTCCTTTCTGTTTTCTTCTAATAGTTCTACAGAAAACAGAACATGGTAGTATGTGGGATACCCGTATAACACAAATCACTTGTCACTCGTGTGTAACACGACATAGTGCCAAACCTTTGATAAACACATATACAATTTATTTTAATATATCTAAATATATATATAATGTACCAATATTTTCTCATCAACCTTCACCAGTACAATGTTATTCTAATACAGTTTTGTAAATATCATTAATAATATTCATTAACATGATTTGATAATCAAGTCTCTAACAAAGCATTAGATTTTTCTTCCTCAATAAAGCATTTTCCATTTGAACTGGATATCACAAAGCACTACAGCTGCTACAACAAAAATTATTTTGGAAAAAATGGATGGTCTTATAAAATTTGAAAAAAAAAAAAAAAACCTCTATATAATACAATATCGCACTTTTCTGCCAGGTATTTCTTCTTACAATAATTATAAAATATATTTATGGGATTTAAAATCTGTACCAATTGAACTACAAATTAAAACTTTATTTATTTATCCTAATCAGTACTCTCCAGGCTTTGGACAAGTTTTAGTCAACAGTACATAAATCCTTACAAGTTTTCTCTAACCATCAATATTTTTGTAAATCAATTTATCACCGGCTATTTATGTCCACATCAGAATTCCAATCTGGATTACATTATCTCTCACCAGATAATTTACATAATTGTCAATCTTCATACTACAGACAACATTTGAGAAGTTATCACCATTTCTTTATCAACTAGTTAAATGTTTGATCAGGTGTTTCTTTTTATATACATATATTTTGTTCTCTACATTTGTCAATACATTTTACCTGTCGTTAACAATGTTATTCCATGTATTTTAGTATAAACACTCCTTGTAACAAATTCAGTTGTTCTTATGCTAAAATCACATTGTACAATTTATAATGTTTTTGCGTGATTATTTTCAAATTCAGTCTTCATCCGACCCCGTTTTCAACATTTTCCAAGTACCAATGCCAGCAGTGCCATACGGATGTACATGCCATTCTCTGCCTGTCGGAAATAAGCTGCACGTGGATCAGTGTCAAAGAGAGGACTGCAAAAAAAAGAATGCAAATTCTTTAGCAATAATTGGTTTTTTTTCTAATTCAAATACACAAACTGTCAAAATAATTTAAAAGGAACTAATGTTCAATGTTTGCCTGGGAAGAGGTCCATTTTTCAAAACTTGGAAAAAATTAACATTGACCAATCAGATGGAAGCAATCCTATTAAATATGTGTAGATTTTACTAACTTTCAAACTCGACCTTCATATTTCTAAGTGATATGTTTCCTGCATATTTGGAAGATATGTGTGTGTGTTTTTTAAATGCATACAATTTAGACTCAACCTAATAACACCCTTTCAAAATGAGGTGACAGAATGGAGATCTATTCACCTGGAAGGGTGACTCACTGACAAATTCATATCGTTGGCATAATTAATATCATCTCTGTCAAGAAATCAATCTTAGCAAGGGATTTGTTTTGGCTGGAAGAGAGACACACTGACAAATCTCTGACAAGACTAATATAGGTAGATCTTCACTGTTAAAAAAAATCAATTATCTGTAGTAATTACAAAGAAACCTTTTTGAGTTTGCAAAATCGATTCATAGATAACACAAAGATAACAGGATTCAAACTCATGACTTTTCCCCTATATACATGTGTTAGGAAATCTATGTGTGTATACTTTCCCCTATATACATGTGTTAGGAAATCTATGTGTGTATACTTTCCCCTATATACATCTGTTAGGAAATCTATGTGTGTATACTTTCCCCTACATACATGTGTTAGGAAATCTATGTGTGTATACTTTCCCCTATATACATGTGTTAGGAAATCTTTGTGTGTATACTTTCCCCTATATACATGTGTTAGGAAATCTATGTTTGTATATAAATAATGTCAATATGACACAGATGTAAACTTACTCTATCTCATTCACCCTGGGTAGTGGGTGCATCACTACCATCCTCTTCTTGGCTTTTGTCATTATCTTGGGACTCACCACAATCTTATCTGCAACCTGTACCAATCAAATCACAGCTTTAAACATCACGTATCACGTGCTAATATCATCTACACCAATCAAATCACAGCTTTAAACATCAAGTATCACATGCTATTATCATCTACACCAATCAAATCACAGCTTTAAACATCACGTATCATGTGCTATTATTATCTACACCAATCAAATCACAGCTTTAAACATCACGTATCAGGATGTTGATATCATCTACACCAATCAAATCACAGTTTAAACATCACGTATCAGGTGCTTATATCTTCACCAATCAAATCACAGCTTTAAACATCACGTATCAGGTGCTGATATCATCTTCACCGTTCACATCACAGCTTTAAACATCACACATCGCATGCTATGAAGACATGTAAAGATCTACACCGATCACATCACAGCTTTAAACATCATGTATAACATGCTATTATTATCTACATCGATCACATCACAGCTTTAAACATCATGTATCACATGCTATGAAGACATGTATCGTTCTACACCGATCACATCACAGCTTTAAACATCATGTATCACATGCTATGAAGACATGTATTGATCTACACCGTTCACATCGCAGCTTTAAACATCATGTATAACATGCTATTATTATCTACATCGATCACATCACAGCTTTAAACATCATGTATCACATGCTATGAAGACACGTATTGATCTACACCGATCACATCACAGCTTTAAACATCATGTATAACATGCCTTTAAGACAAACATTGATCTGATATTATTGTATTGTAACAACATTATTGAAACGGTCAAACCTATAACCAAACTTAACTCAAGCATTTTCATAAAGTATCCTGGACAATTGCACCAATAGAATAGAAGTTTATACCATAAATGTAAATCAGTATAGTATAACAGATATTTGTGACAACTGAAGTTTACAATATCTAGTATCTCTTATAACCTTTAAAATATCAAAAACAATACAACATATGAAACACATGTAAAATGAAAACCTGACTAGCTTACTTTCATGTATTCCTCCTCAGACACAAAGCGCTCCTTCTGGATACGGGTCATATACAGTACATCTGTATCAGGGAGAGCATCTTCAAGGTTCCTGTACTCACTCTGTGGACACAAAATCATCCATAATCATAGGTCTTTTCTGTCCCATTTTTTAAATTTATGTTAAAAAACAATACCAAATACACTAAAATTTATGTTGGTTAAAATTCGACTTTTTGATCAACATGTCCAAATGTAAAATTTCTGAGAAATGTTTGATGACAGCAATGCCATTGCTGCCATAAAGGTAACACTTGTACTATAGTCTCCCCTTTGGCGATTTTTCATCAGGTAAGATAAAAAACTATATGTGAGGTTATTCTCAATGTTTCAATACCCTCTCTGTTGACAAACAATATAGAATAACTTTTACAACTATCAGAGAGATTTCAATTCTCACTCTATTGACACAAAAATATAAAAATAAATTTCAAAACTATCAGCGAGGTTGTACTTTCAATACTCACTCTTTTGAAACAAAATGTTAAATGAATATTATAACTGTGAGTGAGATTGTTTCTAATTTTACAGGTATCTTGGAGAACATCTTTGAAGTTGATATAACTAAATCTGATTCTATAACTAGGAATGAAGAATTTTATCAGTAATAATACCTGTGCGATTCCCTTTGATGCCACTATCTCTTTGATGGTGTCTGGCATTTGCAGTCCATCAGGAGACACGTAGCGCAGTGTGACTCGATACAACGTCAACAACTTAGCCAGAGAGTGGACGGTGCGACCATTCTTTAAGTCTCCAACCATGGTTATCTGTAATGAAAGATGAGTATGCTGTAGACTTCTGCCTTTCATAATACTGTACAACCATAATTTAAATGTTTTAATCTCATCCCTGTTCTTCTATCTACCTACCACTAGCCCACTAACTGTTCCAATTCCCTCCCCAACATCCTTTCTTCTTACCACTAGCTCAATGACTACTCCCATTCCCTCCCTGTTTACCATTAACCCACTGACTGTTCCAATTCCCTCCCTGATATCCTTCCTGCTTACTACTAACCCACTGACTGTTCCAATTCCCTCCCTGATATCATTCCTGCTTACTACTAACCCACTGACTGTTCCAATTCCCTCCCTGATATCCTTTCTGCTTACTACTAACCCACTGACTGTTCCAATTCCCTCCCTGATATCCTTCCTGCTTATTACTAACCCACTGACTGTTCCAATTCCCTCCCTGATATCCTTCCTGCTTACTACTAACCCACTGACTGTTCCAATTCCCTCCCTGATATCTTTCCTGCTTATTACTAACCCACTGATTGTTCCAATTCCCTCCCAGATATCCTTCCTGCTCATTACTAATCCACTGACTGTTCCAATTCCCTCCCTGATATCTTTCCTGCTTACCACTAACCCACAGACTGTTCCAATTCCCTCCCTGATATCCTTCCTGCTTATTACTAATCCACTGACTGTTCCAATTCCCTCCCTGTTATCTTTCCTGGTTACCACTATCCATTGACTGTTCCAGTTCCCTCCCTGATATCCTTCCTGCTTACTACTAACCCACTGACTGTTCCAATTCCCTCCCTGATATCCTTCCTGCTTACCACTAACCCACTGACTGTTCCAATTCCCTCCCTGTTATCTTTCCTGGTTACCACTATCCACTGACTGTTCCAGTTCCCTCCCTGATATCCTTCCTGATTACTACTAACCCACTGACTGTTCCAATTCCCTTCCTGATATCTTTTCTGCTTATTACTAACCCATTGACTGTTCCAATTCCCTCCCTAATATCTTTCCTGCTTACCACTAACCCACTGACTGTTCCAGTTCCCTCCCTATTATCCTTCTTGCTTACCATTAACCCACTGACTGTTCCAATTCCCTCCCTGATATCTTTCCTGCTTATTACTAATCCACTGACTGATCCAATTCCCTCCCTGATATCCTTCCTGCTTACTACTAACCCACTGACTGTTCCAATTCCCTCCCTGATATCTTTCCTGCTTATTACTAACCCACTGACTGTTCCAATTCCCTCCCTGTTATCTTTCCTGCTTATTACTAATCCACTGACTGTTCCAGTTCCCTCCCTATTATTCTTCCTGCTTATTACTAACCCACTGACTGTTCCAATTCCCTCCCTGATATCCTTCCTGCTTATTACTAATCCACTGACTGTTCCAATTCCCTCCCTGTTATCTTTCCTGCTTATTACTAATCCACTGACTGTTCCAATTCCCTCCCTGATATCCTTCCTGCTTACTACTAACCCACTGACTGTTCCAATTCCCTCCCTGTTATCTTTCCTGGTTACCACTATCCATTGACTGTTCCAGTTCCCTCCCTGATATCCTTCCTGACTAACCCACTGACTGTTCCAATTCCCTTCCTGATATCTTTTCTGCTTATTACTAACCCCAATTCCCTCCCTGATATCCTTCCTGCTTACTACTAATCCACTGACTGTTCCAATTCCCTCCCTAATATCTTTCCTGCTTACCACTAACCCACTGACTGTTCCAGTTCCCTCCCTATTATCCTTCTTGCTTACCATTAACCCACTGACTGTTCCAATTCCCTCCCTGATATCTTTCCTGCTTATTACTAACCCACTGACTGTTCCAATTCCCTCCCTGATATCCTTCCTGCTTACTACTAACCCACTGACTGTTCCAATTCCCTCCCTGATATCTTTCCTGCTTATTACTAACCCACTGACTGTTCCAGTTCCCTCCCTATTATTCTTCTTGCTTACTACTAACCCACTGACTGTTCCAATTCCCTCCCTGATATCTTTCCTGCTTACCACTAACCCACTGACTGTTCCAATTCCCTCCCTGATATCTTTCCTGCTTATTACTAGCCCACCGACTGTTCCAATTCCCTCCCTGATATCCTTCTTGCTTACCACTAACCCACTGACTGTTCCAATTCCTTCCCTGATATCTCTCCTGCTTATTACTAGCCCACTGACTGTTCCAATTCCCTCCCTGATATCGCTCCCTACACTGAGAATGTTTCCCCCTAATATACATCCTACTTACCACAAGTCCATTTACTGTTCCGATTTCCTCCCTAATTGTGAAAACATCGAGGAGAGCTTGAGTTGGGTGCTCCCCAACTCCATCACCAGCGTTAATCACAGGTTTGCGAGCTTTTTTCGCTGCTTCCTGTCTCAGAGACAAAAACATTTAATGAAGATTGAGCAACAACAGGTCACATTCTAAGATGAAACACAAAACACAGTAACATCAAGACTTTTCATCAAGGACAATCAATGTTCTATATATTTTATATGTTTAAAGAATTATATCTTCTTCCAGGCGAGACAGCCATGGTCATGGTAACATTTACTATCAAAACATGTAATTATTATCATACCACATCAAGGGAGGAAACTTTGATCTTACTTTCCACAAGGATTTGTCTGTCTTCACAACAAGAGATAGTAATCAAATAAATAAAATGAATTGTAAATTTTGAAATAGAATCAGCTACTCACATCAACAGCACCTGGTTGGGGGTGCCTTATAACCAAAACATCCGTGTATCCAGCCATCATTACCACAGTATCTGTAAAGCATTGTAAACTTATTAAAATATTTACCCTGGTATACCTATCAAACAGAAACTTTACCTGATTTACAGAAAACATCTTTAATTTCTAAAAACTGAATTTTTATTAGATTTCCTTTTTTTCTCTCCATAAAGAGATTGAGGAGAATGCTTATTTACAAAAAGGAAGATCATATTTAATTTAATGAAGAACTGATATCAGCAAGTTTTTGAAGGGTTTTTCTTTAATAAACAAGAAACACATAGATATTTTTCAATGTTGGATGCATGAAATACAACCACAAAATTACTTCCAGTGTTGTGTGTACTGAGCAAAGGTACCTACCTTCCAGTGTCTCGCCTTTTTTACTTGAAGAGGAGGTTTGGTCAAGGTGAACAACAGTTCCACCGAGTCGCTGCATCGCCACAGTAAAGGAACAGCTTGTTCTTGTACTTGCCTCATAAAACATGGACGCCATCACCTTGCCCTAAATCAAGTCAACATCAAAGTTAGACAACAGTTGTATACCTGTTGTATGTTTAACAATGTGACAGCATAAATGTTTCTACAAAGACCCGGGCTGGTTCTCATTTCTGCTTTCTAATTTACAGGATGTGGTGTTTTTCAGCATTATCCTAAATCTTATAATACAAAGTACTGCAATCCAATCTCATTGTACTCAACAAATCTATTTCTCACCAGTGGCTTAACTGGCTTATCTGAAGTTTTGTACTTACTATAATATCTCCTGGATTTCCAAAATTATCTCAGCTTTTAAGAAAGTAAAATGTACTAACCAATTCACTAGAATTTAAAACCCTCAAAAAATACATGACTTTACAGTAATATGATACAAGTGGCTGATAACACTGTGATGTAATTCTAATCTTTATCTGCTGTCAATCCTAATCATTTTCCTATGTTTTATAATATACAGCCCTAGTACAATCCTTAAATGAACATAGGTGTTCTGTCTTTAGAGTATCAATGATATTGATTAAGGGGAGACAAATCTTCTTGTTCCCTTCATGAGAAGTCATTAATTGTATGTTATTGGTGGCGTCTTACCTTTAGTACATAATCCAGGTTTCTGTCTCTCTGTACTGATATCCTCAGCTGATGGGCCAAGTTAAACAGGTGGTGAAGCTGACACAGAAAATATAGAATGTTCGAGTGAAAAGGTCTCGATTAACACTACTGCAGGTAACACTGGAGATTCTCAACACATATCAGAACAAACACAGAGATAACAAATTTTCATTATTTCACCAAAACTATTTCATGATTTTCTGTATCTTATTTTGCATGTGGGTTTTTTTAAAAAGAATATTTCACTGCAAGGAATCTCATCACTTAGATATGTCTCTACTGTCATTATCATTTTAACCAAATGACACTGAAATATTTGACCTAGATTTACATTGTGGGTCTAGTAAATGAAGAAGACACCCGTCCTTTTGAAACACCTCAGAAAGAACAGACAGACCAATGTTTAAATCTTTTAGTTTGTCCCTTCCTGGTCTATCTCAATATCTCAAAATATTTCTGGGCCAATGTTAACTTTCTTTTGCTTTCTTTTTCCAACATGTGTTTCTCTGTACACTAGTAGTTCTGACTGCCAGATATTACCTGGTCCCTATTAAAATTATTGACAGTGAGAATGTGGTGGCCAGTGAGCCCCGGGGTGGAATGCAGTAGCCCCAGGGGATTGAGCAGGTTCTGTGAGGCAGGAGGCAACATCATCCCCTGATTTGGAGACAGCAGGCCAACATCTTTTTTACTGAAATCACCACCTCCAAATTCTCTGTCACGGAAGCTATCAAGCCCTATAAACCAAAAATAAATTCACAATCACCAAAAGTTACAGAACTCAGAGGGTATTACCGGTAGCCACTGACTCATAAGTAGGAGCCAAGCAAGTTAATTACAAGGCAATCACACATCACTTAAACAGTTTCAGTTCTACTGAATTACACCCTATTTTGTTGGATAAATATGGTATCTTGCAAGGTTTAGAGTTACAGAAACTGACACCAAAATCATATTTCACTTCAATGATCAAACACTGACATTTAATATGTTATAGTTTTAAAAATTATGGAAACATACCAAGACAAGTTGAGATAATTGTTTTAAAATGTTATGTCAGCAGATTCAGTAATTCAGCCAATCAAAGTCACAAACGTTATTTCTGTTGATGATGCATATGTTTAAATTTGATGTAGATATCTTAAATGGTTCAAAACTTTTTCAAACAGCATCAGTCAGGACTGTAATAAAACAACATCAAAATGAAATTATTAGAACCAGAAAAACTAGTAATTAGTAACAGTGTCCGCTAGGATTCCAACCCATGACCTCTGGCGTACTAGTCTGATGCTCAACCAACGAGCTGAAGTGAAGTTTGCGGCTAGTATTTACCTGGGTTATACAAATACCATGTGTCTTCCTTCCCTTCCGTTAATTTTCTCAATGACACAAGCTATTATTGTAAATGTGAATCTATACAACCTATCAAAATTAGTCTGTAAAATATAGTATCAATCCATTTTAAGCTTTAAAAACATGTTTTGTTAATTTCAATATGTTTGTGTAAGATTCATTATAATCAGTTAAAATATTATTTTATAAAGTTTAACCTCAAAGTTTAAAAGTATTGTCTGTTTGTGTTCATTATCATCTGTTAAAAGTCATATTATGTAACATTTCATTGTATCACATCAATTTAAACCTTTAAAGGTGTGTATTAGGCCATTCACATATCAATCTATGAAAAGCATGCTTTGTAGAGGCCAAGTCTGTTAGATGCCTATTTTTTGTTAATATCGCCCTATTAAATAGCCATTATCAACCATTACAAATTCATGAAACATTTCCATACCTCCAGCTCTCGAGGAAATTTTCTTTTTATTATTAAATGCTGATTCTGCCAGATAAGATCAGTAAGACCTAAGTATACATTGAAAGCTGGAAAGACAGCTTTATACAGCTGTTTTATAATATGTTTCTGGTATTAAACTTTGAGTGACAAAGAGTAGATTGAAATAAGAATTTTCCCATCACTGTAAACTGGTCATGTGACACGAAAGAAGAAGAAATTGATATCAAAACTCTAACCAAAAGGACTTCATGCATAATATTACCCACAATGCACCACTATAAGGTAGTTTATCTAGTACCATATTTATCCTGCAACAAGCCCTGGGTAACCAATACATTGTTTCTTAAAGTCAGCAGTAGGCTGGGATGAAGAAATAGTATTTGAATTCAATATTTATTAAACAGCACTATATGGATGGACTTATCACCAGGCATGTGGTTATTGCTGGATAAATATGGATATTGAGAGTTTCAATTCTATGCCATTGTTATCAATATGTAGTTTTTATAATAACTTACAATAGTGAATGTTACTTAGCAACAGTTAACATTACAAATGTAACAAATTTGAAAAACTATTTGCCAGCATGGTATGAACTTGTGTCTGCCACTGGACAGATTGAGCATTAATAGGACAATTCCCTATAGTGTAAAGCTAGAAGGCATGCTTATATTTATGTATAAATAAACGTAACATCAAATTCCCTATAGTGTAAAAGCTAGAAGGCATGCTTATATTTATGTATAAATAAACGTAACATCAAATTCCCTATAGTGTAAAAGCTAGAAGGCATGCTTATATTTATGTACAAATAAACATAACATCAAAGTAACAAGAAAATAACAATGGACTGAATTAAAACACCATAAAGTAAACACCAGTAATAATATTACTATAGGTAGAGACTAAAAAGAATAGCAGATAAACAAGAAAGATTACATATAGAGATAAATAGAAGATATTCTAATAAAGACCAGATATAACAAAGGGCCTGGTGGCCTTGACAGTCACCTGAGATAAGTAATATTGATTATAAAGATTAAAGCGTAGTTAATAAAGTGTCATGAAACAGAAATTATGACACTAAATATAGATAGTGTCAATATATGCATTCCATCAAAACTGCCATCCTATACTGATATTTCTTACACAGTTATTTCCAGTGGGAAATAACCAATGTTGTGCTCAAAAATACAATTTTTCTATGAAAATTACAGTAAAGTCTAAAAAAAATATTATTTTCCCAGGACGAAATGTGAGACTCAATTTGGTAATTGAATCACCTTAAGATGCTTCCATTCATGAAGAGTGTTTGATTATACCATATCTGGGTCTTGAGAAGAAGATTTTTGAAATTTAAGTCAATTTGGCACCTTTCGGGCCCATCCATTAGCCCTTGGGGGTCACTCAGAATCAAAATGGACATACCATCCGGTCGTCACCCTTCATTCATAATTCTAACCAAGTTTTAAATATTTCCAATGGAAATTAAACAAATTATGCTAAAAATCTAGTTTTCCTACATAAACTATGGTAAATTTTACCCCCTTCCCATGGGGATATGTAAGACCCCGAGGCCATGAAATTCACAGTTTTGAGAAAGCACCTTCAGATGCTTCCATTCATGAAAAATATTGATTCTATTACATCTTGAGAAGAAGGTTTTTGAAATCTGAGTCAATTTGACCCCTTTTGGCCCTGCCCCTCAGATCCCTGGGTAGTTGGGACTGTATAATTCACAATTATGATTCATCTTAGGCAAGGGCAGGTTTCAAAAAAAAAAAAATCATTGAAATTGGATCAGTGGTTTTTAAGAAGAAGTTGAAAGTGTGAAATTGTTTATGGACGCACACCGCCCCATGAAGGGTATGAGAATAGGTCACCAGAAGATTTCATATAGAGATAAATATAAGATGTACAAATAAATAACAGATATAAAAAGCAAGATTACATCTATAGATATAAATTGATGTACAAATACAGAACAGATATGTAGATCTAGCACACACATCTTACAGTACAGTCTATAGCACTGTGAATCACTTCTATTTGGCAAGGACTTTATCAGACCACAAAATATCGTGAACACACCATCAGGCCAAACATCAATGTGTGTTGTTAATATCCATTTGATTGTAAAGATATTTTTGTGATATTCATTCACTCTGTGCTTCAGTTACTTATTAATGATTCCTGTATAACTTTGCAATGATTTTCTTGACCAAATTTGATAACTTTCTATCTTGTGTAAGATACAAGAAAAAAAACATCATGACTCTAGGCCTCACAGTTTTGTAGAAGAACATGTTTGACATCTTAACTAACTCATTTTTCCTTTGAAACTGCAGCAAGGTTTGTGCTGTAATCAACATGTTATCCACATATGACTTTGAAATGGTATAATTTCTCTTATCCCTTCCATAAATTATGGAACAAATATTAAGGAGATCTGCTGTGCTACATATCATCATTTCTCCAGGTGCTCATGTAAGGATGATGGTTACTTTTCCCTCTGTATATCTACAATGAATATCTTACAGAGCATAACAAGCTTTTTCCATAATAGTGTTCCTTAGTTTCTAAACTTGCCAAATATAAGTGATAAACCGAGAACTATACAGTAGACTTACTCTGCCTTTCCGGTCGTGGCTCTTTCATACCTGAGTCAACCTCAGATATTTCATTTGCTGTAAATTACAAATAATGTGCTGACAAGTACGAGTAAACAAACAAAGATAACAAAGGTATGATTCCACTAAAACTGAGATTTATGATTAATACAAGTAAAAAAATAATGCCTAACAGAAAGAATGTAAGATATACACATCTTTGTTTTTCCTCGAAAACTATGACAAGGACTCGTCAGGAAGAAGACCCCTGTTAGTGTCTAACCCTAATACAGAGTTTGACCCCAGCATTAGAAGGAGATAGAAAAGAAACAGAAATCACACTGATCTTCACACACAATGTCCAAAATATATGGACCTTCAGCTGTACAATTATCTAGAACTGCTTTTGACATAAAGTGGAAATGAAAAGATGAACTTTGATTTTATTGGGTTTTACATGATCAACAATAAACGTAGGCTCTGTAGAGTTTTCTTTATGAACACACAATGGAAACAGATGTTGTTTTAAATGTTGACAGTAAATGCAAAGAAAAAACCAACGTGTCTTTGAAGGGGAAAACACTTTCCCAACATATATCATCCCTATATCAGAGTGTCTAGAATCCTGAATACATGGGAAAGCGGCTTGAACCATACTCTGGAATGCACTCATCATGACACTCATAATGTCAGTGTATTTGCAATCACAGCTGCCGAGACCTTTAAATGTTTGAGATGTTTGAGATGATTAAGATGTTTGATATACAATAATGCCACACTTTATACGAGCTTCTTTTTCAAATATCAACTGTAAATGGTGGCCTACACAACAATATTATTATGGGAGTTATGGTAATATTTGTGGTTTATGTAACAACTGACTTACCACCATATGGAGAGTATATATCTGACACTCGACCTCTGACACGATCTGAGAAACGGTCAGAATTGGATAGTACAGCCTTACGGGGACTGGATGGTTCTGATGATGGCTGAGAGGTGGCACACACTCCCATCTGGGGGATATGGACGGACAACTGATCACCAGAGGACCTTGAAACTAGCGTCTGGCTGCGGACATCAATACCTAGACCAGGCTGAGCCAGTACCTATTTAAACAATACACTGATTTGTAACAAGTTCTGTAGAATATAATAAAATACATCCTCTCATCCTTAGGCCCCTTTTTTATTAGGAATTTTCTACTAAAAATTGGTATCATCATGTTATATTCAAATTCCTCTTAACACATTCATATCTCATAGTTTGATTTAATTGGTGCCAATTAATGATCTTTCAACACATACTTATGATCACAACTCCCTTTTCTTATTTGAACCCAAACAATCACCTGACTCTGGTTCTGGGCATTCTCTCATTTGAAATTCTCTAAGATGTTGAACCAAAATTGTCAACAGAGACAGATCTGTTTAATGTTAATCAGCACAGATCTAATGAGGGGGATGGTCTTGTGTTTCTTTTCTCTTTTCTTCTCTGTTGCTGTCTTAATGATAAGAAATATGAACATTCCTTTGCTTCTTTTGCAGTGATAGCAATAACAATCCCAAACTCAAGATGGTCCCCTGGAAGCCATTTTGCTTCTCTGATCAGACTCAAAATCAAACAGGCGAAAGTAGGGACCAAGGGGAACCTACATATGAAATTTGAGAGAGATCCGTTTAGTCTTTCTAGAGAAATAGTGATAAGAAACTTTACAAGGCAAATATCCAAGATAGCTGCCTCTTGGCTGTTTTGTTTTTCTGATCAGTTCCAAAATCAAATGGGCAAAACTAGGGACCAAGGAAAACCTAGATAGGAAATTTCAGAGTACTTCTAAATAAAAAGCTGTGACAAACTTCATTGTCAAAAATTGAGGATGGTAGGCTAAAAATTTGTAATAACATGCCATTGCTGACTTTTGTGTTATTTCCAGAAATTTGAAACACATTGTGTTATACCATTTTACCACTTCAATGCTAAATCACTTCATACAGAAGTAATGCAAATTCTGCATCTCATCACATTCCTATTAATTCAATTAAATATTTGTTTGCCCTTTTAAAACTCAATTTTTGAAGTACACTGTTAGTTAACAAAAACTTTCAACTTAAAATGAGATCATTGCGGCATCTTTGAACCTACCATTGTTTGATCTTTGATTCATCTTTAAAAGTTGGATCTTTTTCCTTAATTTTATTTTGATTTTTCTAATCAACCTCAAATTCAAAACAGCAACTAGGAGCCGAGGGGGACCTTCATATGAAATCTGAGAAAGATCCGTGTAATTCGTCTAAAGAAATAACTTAGATAATCATTCACAATAAAAATCCAAGATGCCAGTTTGTTAGCAAATTTGTTTTTCTGACCAGTTCTAAAATCAAAAGGGCAAAACTAGGGACCACCAGGAAGCTACATAGGAGATTTTAAAAGAGATGCATCCAGAACTTCATGAGAAACAATGTCAAGAATCTATGACAATAAAAAAAACAAGATGGCCATCTGTTAGCCATGTTTTTTTTTTTCTAATTCCCAAAATGGACTATGAACAATAACGAACCAAGGGAAAGACACTTATGAGATTTGAAAATTATATATCCAGTGCTTCTCCAGAAATAGTGACAATAAACTATGACTGTCTAAAGCTAAGACGGCCATCTGTCAGCCACGTTGATTTGCCAATCAGTTCCCAAATTGACTACAAACAACTAGGGACCCAGAGGAACCTACATATGGAATTTGAGAATTACCAATCCAGAGTCCTCCAGAAAAAGCAAAAACAAGAATTTTTAAGGACGTATGGATGGTCCACAGTCTGATGATACTGAGCTTAAAATTTAACACAGCCTTGATCGTTCATTTAAAGTGATTAAACATACAACCTTTTTATTTCGTACAAGCTCTACATTTCCCTTCAAACATAAACTTAGAACGAAGTAACTTGTGTGCCTTCCATCTCTCCTTACCTCTCCATCAATGTAGGCCACCTCTCCACGTAGAACCACGCGTTTCACTCGTCCGCTAACCTCCATACCCTCAAATGGTGTCCATTTAGATTTAGTAAACGGCATGGCTGAGGGTATCGTCCAGCGTGAATCCATGTCCACTTCTATGTAAGTGTCTGGCTGGTCAGGCAGGTTGAAGATACGTTTGGGGTTAGTGTACAGCCTCGCGATCAGTTCCTGTAGGATTACACATATCATATCATCCTAAATATCGTGTCATATCAAGTCAATTCCATTCAGTAGTCATGTTTTACTTATCACTGATTTACTTATTGTAAATCACTTATATTCAGTGCTGTATTTATTTTCACGTTAATATACCAGGGGAGCCAATCACAAATTCAAATATCTCACGATGAAGTCCTTGTTATTCTGTCTTTCACTTGCTTACACTTTCATCTACACTTCTGTTGAATTTATGTATATCATATTATCACAAACAAATCTGCTAGACAAATGTTCCTTTCAAATTCAGACATCTGTTGAACTCTATCCGTAAACAACATCTTCATATTGCTGACTCTAGAACTTTACAAAATGCTGTCTTTCAAATGTACAGGTATAGGTCAGAGGACAAGTATGTGTGCCACAACAGATAAAAATGTAAATCCCTAATATTTTAGTGTTGCTATCAGTTGCCTTTACAGGACTTTTCAAGAATCTATGTCTCTAGTAGCTCATCATTCACAAACTCAGTTATTTCTATATCAACATTCTCCAAATAATGTATTCATAAATATGTCAGCAAAGGTGAGTTCACGAAATAAAGTGTTTGCATAATCTAAGGGATTTACAGTAACTTGTGTAGCACTCCTTCCTAAACACATTGTTATACTTTTAATCTCAGTGATTTACAGTAACTTGTGTAGCACTCCTTCCTAAACACATTGTTATACTTTTAATCTACTGATTTACAATAACTTGTGTAGCACTCCTTCCTAAACACATTGTTATACTTTTAATCTCAGTGATTTACAATAACTTTTGTAGCACTCCTTCCTAAACACATTGTTATACTTTTAATCTCTGATCCTAAACACATTGTTATACTTTTAATCTCAGTGATTTACAATAACTTGTGTAGCACTCCTTCCTAAACACATTGTTATACTTTTACAATAACTTGTGTAGCATCTTCCTACATTGTTATACTTTTAATCTACTGATTTACAGTAACTTGTGTAGCACTCCTTCCTAAACACATTGTTATACTTTTAATCTACTGATTTACAATACTTGTGTAGCACTCCTTCCTAAACACATTGTTATACTTTTAATCTCAATTTACACTTGTGTAGCACTCCTTCCTAAACATTGTTATACTTTTAATCTACTGATTTAGAGTAACTTGTGTAGCACTCCTTCCTAAACACATTGTTATACTTTTAATCTACTGATTTACAATAACTTGTGTAGCACTCCTTCCTAAACACATTGTTATACTTTTAATCTACTGATTTACAATAACTTGTGTAGCACTCCTTCCTAAACATTGTTATACTTTTAATCTACTGATTTACAATAACTTGTGTAGCACTCCTTCCTAAACACATTGTTATACTTTTAATCTTTTAATCTAGTGATTTACAATAACTTGTGTAGCACTCCTTCCTAAACACATTGTTATACTTTTAATCTACTGATTTACAATAACTTGTGTATTTACTTTTAATCTACTGATTTACAATAACTTGTGTAAAACACACTCCTTCCTAAACACATTGTTATACTTTTAATCTACAGTGATTTACAGTAACTTGTGTAGCACTCCTTCCTAAACACATTGTTATACTTTTAATCTACTGATTTACAATAACTTGTGTAGAACTCCTTCCTAAACACATTGTTATACTTTTAATCTACTGATTTACAATAACTTGTGTAGCACTCCTTCCTAAACACATTGTTATACTTTTAATCTCTGATTTACATGTGTAGCACTCCTTCCTAAACACATTGTTATACTTTTAATCTACTGATTTACAATAACTTGTGTAGCACTCCTTCCTAAACACATTGTTATACTTTTAATCTTGTGTAGTGATTTACAATAACTTGTGTAGCACTCCTTCCTAAACACATTGTTATACTTTTAATCTACTGATTTACAATAACTTGTGATTTACATTGTTATAACTTGTGTAGCACTCCTTCCTAAACACATTGTTATACTTTTAATCTACTGATTTACAATAACTTGTGTAGAACTCCTTCCTAAACACATTTTTTTTAGTTCTTATGTTTTGTTTTACTATAACTTGTGTAGCACTCCTTCCTAAACACATTGTTATACTTTTAATCTCAGTGATTTACAGTAACTTGTGTAGAACTCCTTCCTAAACACATTGTTATACTTTTAATCTCAGTGATTTACAGTAACTTGTGTAGCACTCCTTCCTAAACACATTGTTATACTTTTAATCTGATTTACAATAACTTGTACTTTTAAACACATTGTTATACTTTTAATCTACTGATCCTTACAATAACTTGATTTACAATAACTTGAAACACATTGTTATACTTTACAATAACTTGTGTAGCACTCCTTAAACCTTGTTATACTTTTACACATTGTTATACTTTTAACTTTTAATCTCACTGATTTACAGTAACTTGTGTAGCACTCCTTCCTATTGTTATACTTTTAATCTCAGTGATTTACAGTAACTTGTAACTTGTGTAGCACTCCTTCCTAAACACATTGTTATACTTTTAATCTACTGATTTACAATAACTTGTGTAGCACTCCTTCCTAAACACATTGTTATACTTTTAATCTACTGATTTACAATAACTTGTGTAGCACTCCTTCCTAAACACATTGTTATACTTTTAATCTCAGTGATTTACAGTAACTTGTGTAGCACTCCTTCCTAAACACATTGTTATACTTTTAATCTACTGATTTACAATAACTTGTGTAGCACTCCTTCCTAAACACATTGTTATACTTTTAATCTCAGTGATTTACAATAACTTGTGTAGCACTCCTTCCTAAACATTGTTATACTTTTAATCTACTGATTTACAATAACTTGTGTAGCACTCCTTCCTAAACACATTGTTATACTTTTAATCTACTGATTTACAATAACTTGTGTAGCACTCCTTCCTAAACACATTGTTATACTTTTAATCTCAGTGATTTACAGAACTTTTGTAGCACTCCTTCCTAAACACATTGTTATACTTTTAATCTTCCTAAACACATTGTTATACTTTTAATCACTGATTTACACTTGTGTAGCACTCCTTCCTAAACATTGTTATACTTTTAATTGTTATAACTTTGTAATCTCATTGTTATACTTTTAATCTACTGATTTACAGTAACTTGTGTAGCACTCCTTCCTAAACACATTGTTATACTTTTAATCTCAGTGATTTACAGTAACTTGTGTAGCACTCCTTCCTAAACACATTGTTATACTTTTAATCTCAGTGATTTACAGTAACTTGTGTATTTAAACACATTGTTATACTTTTAATCTCTGTGTTTTACCGAACTTTTGTAGCACTCCTTCCTAAACACATTGTTATACTTTTAATCTCAGTGATTTACAATAACTTGTGTAGCACTCCTTCCTAAACACATTGTTATACTTTTAATCTCAGTGATTTACAATAACTTGTGTAGCACTCCTTCCTAAACAGTGATTTACAGTAACTTGTGTAGCACTCCTTCCTAAACACATTGTTATACTTTTAATCTCAGTGATTTACAGTAACTTGTGTAGCACTCCTTCCTAAACATTGTTATACTTTTAATCTCAGTGATTTACAGTAACTTGTGTAGCACTCCTTCCTAAACACATTGTTATACTTTTAATCTACTGATTTACAATAACTTGTGTAGCTTGTGTATTTACAGCACTTTTAATCTACTGATTTACAATAACTTGTGTAGCCTTCCTAAACACATTGTTATACTTTTAATCTCAGTGATTTACAGTAACTTGTGTAGCACTCCTTCCTAAACACATTGTTATACTTTTAATCTACTGATTTACAGTAACTTGTGTAGCACTCCTTCCTAAACATTGTTATACTTTTAAACATTGTTATACTTTTAATCTCAGTGGTTTACAGTAACTTGTGTAGCACTCCTTCCTAAACATTGTTATACTTTTAATCTACTGATTTACAATAACTTGTGTAGCACTCCTTCCTAAACACATTGTTATACTTTTAATCTACTGATTTACAATAACTTGTGTAGCACTCCTTCCTAAACACATTGTTATACTTTTAATCTCAGTGATTTACAGTAACTTGTGTAGCACTCCTTCCTAAACACATTGTTATACTTTTAATCTCAGTGATTTACAGTAACTTGTGTAGCACTCCTTCCTAAACACATTGTTATACTTTTAATCTACTGATTTACAATAACTTGTGTAGCACTCCTTCCTAAACACATTGTTATACTTTTAATCTCAGTGATTTACAGTAACTTGTGTAGAACTCCTTCCTAAACACCTTGTTATACTTTTAATCTACTGATTTACAGTAACTTGTGTAGCACTCCTTCCTAAACACATTGTTATACTTTTAACTTTTAATCTCTGAGTGATTTACATTGTTATACTTTTAATCTACTGATAACTTGTGTAGCACTCCTTCCTAAACACATTGTTATACTTTTAATCTCAGTGATTTACACTTGTGTAGCACTCCTTCCTAAACACATTGTTATACTTTTAATCTCAGTGATTTACAATAACTTGTGTAGCACTCCTTCCTAAACATTGTTATACTTTTAATCTACTGATTTACAATAACTTGTGTAGCACTCCTTCCTAAACATTGTTATACTTTTAATCTCAGTGATTTACAGTAACTTGTGTAGCACTCCTTCCTAAACACATTGTTATACTTTTAATCTCAGTGATTTACAATAACTTGTGTAGCACTCCTTCCTAAACACATTGTTATACTTTTAATCTACTGATTTACAATAACTTGTGTAGCACTCCTTCCTAAACACATTGTTATACTTTTAATCTCAGTGATTTACAATAACTTGTGTAGCACTCCTTCCTAAACACATTGTTATACTTTTAATCTCAGTGATTTACAGTAACTTGTGTAGCACTCCTTCCTAAACACATTGTTATACTTTTAATCTCAGTGATTTACAATAACTTGTGTAGCACTCATTCCTAAACATTGTTATACTTTTAATCTACTGATTTACAATAACTTGTGTAGCACTCCTTCCTAAACACATTGTTATACTTTTAATCTCAGTGATTTACAGTAACTTGTGTAGCACTCCTTCCTAAACACATTGTTATACTTTTAATCTACTGATTTACAGTAACTTGTGTAGCACTCCTTCCTAAACACATTGTTATACTTTTAATCTCAGTGATTTACAATAACTTGTGTAGCACTCCTTCCTAAACACATTGTTATACTTTTAATCTACTGATTTACAGTAACTTGTGTAGCACTCCTTCCTAAACACATTGTTATACTTTTAATCTCAGTGATTTACAGAACTTTTGTAGCACTCCTTCCTAAACACATTGTTATACTTTTAATCTCAGTGATTTACAGTAACTTGTGTAGCACTCCTTCCTAAACACATTGTTATACTTTTAATAAATGATAACAACTTAACACATTACTTTATATGATCATATTTAGACTGAGAACAGGAAATTACCATTTGACACAAACTGACCAAATAAGACTGCAAAAACTTAATATCACTTCATTTATTATACATATATCAGAACAAAGAAAAGTGTAGTCAAGGCTCTAAGGAAAATTAGAGACCCATATGTCTTAGTAATCACACCTTATCTTATGACCATATTTCTTTACTAACTAACCTCGACAAAGCTGTATCAAACTAAATGTCTGTCCCAATTTGTCATCTAAACGTTTTAAAAATAAGAGAAAATTGTTTGTCTGCATAAATAAACAGATTTGTGTAATCTAGGTCAGAATTTTATGAACATCAATGTAATGTTGAGTATATGTTACAGGCTAATCAAATGTAATATAACATGAAAAAAATAGCCATAGTATGGCTTATAAAATGGGTGTGGCTACATACATCAAGGGACAGTCGGCCATCATTGACAGCAGTCAGAAGGAGTGGCAGCATCGTTTCCAGACCTGGGTAGCCTGGAGGTGGCTTCTCAGAGTTTTTCTCCTCCACTGCATGTGGTGCTGAGAGTAAAGATGCTTGTTTACATTTCATAAAAAATCTAAGTGAATTTCAACAGCATATCAAATTAGATAATAACAAATAGATGTTGTAATATATTACTCATAACTGATCAGTAACAAGCATATCAAGTATTGTTAAAACAAAACATGTTTCCTACCAGTCCCCACAATAATGTCTCCCCCGTCAAGATATTATAATGCTCTATAAGTGTGTGAAGTTTGACGATAATCCTTTAAGAAATGAAGACAGATGGATAGAGAGTAAATCTTTAGTCCCTCATCCACCCACCCCACCATTAGATAATACAAACTTTATTTACAGTTAGAACATGCCTAAGACATGGATGCCCCAGTTTCCATGCAACCTTTGACCCTTTAGCCATGACTGATGACCACATTAATATGACAATGTGTAGAACTTAATGTTACGATATCATGAGGGGACTCAAGTGAATGGATCAACATGGCTAACACTACAGACCCCCACCCTTGAAGTGGAGGAGGCATAATAATGTGAGGCCTTAGCAAAAATGTCTTACCATGGTCAGTAGCAAAACAGTCAATTATATCCATGTTGTCCCATAGAGCCTGCTGATCTTCTTTAGAACTGACCTCAGGTTTGACCCGACCCCGGAGATGACCTATGCGGTCAAGGTCATCTTCAGTCAGGAAAAGATGGTGAGGAGCAACCTCGCAAGTCACAGCTAAACCCTTCTCTTTGGCTGCACGAATCACCAAGATCTATTAACAATGAAGACCACCATATAGGTAATATTCTGATCAGGCAGGCAAGAAACAGTGCTATCTATTTTTCTTTAGAATTTGAAAACAAAAACATCTGTTTGAAAAGTATTAACCTGGTAAATCTCAGAATCAAAAAATGCAAAACAAAAATGTTTGAATCTCTCTTCACTATACCATGCTAATCTGTACAAAATGATTCTACAATCTAAAGACCTTAAGGCCATCTTTTTGATGTTAATCATTTATGGTGTTGGATCTGAAACATTTTGAGCGACTTTTATTTAGTTGAATTTTTCAAACTTTTCACAACACTGGAAATACATACCTCCTCCTTGCGTGCGACGTGACAGATATGTACCGGGCGTTTATACAATTCTGACAGAAGGATAACGGCTGCTGTGTGTGTTCTCTCAGCATGAGTACACAAAGTCAGGTTCTTCGGCCAATGCTCAAAGTGCTGTTACAAAGAAATACCCATTTTAGTACTCAAAGTGCTGTCACAAAGAAATACACATTTTAGTACTCAAAGTGCTGTCACAAAGAAATACACATTTTAGTACTCAAAGTGCTGTCACAAAGAAATACACATTATAGTGCTCAAAGTGCTGTCACAAAGAAATACCCATTTTAGTACTCAAAGTGCTACAAAGAAATACCCATTTTAGTACTCAAAGTGCTGTCACAAAGAAATACACATTATAGTGTTCAAAGTGCTGTCACAAAGAAATACCCATTTTAGTACTCAAAGTGCTGTCACAAAGAAATACACATTATAGTGCTCAAAGTGCTGTCACAAAGAAATACACATTATAGTGCTCAAAGTGCTGTCACAAAGAAATACACATTATAGTGCTCAAAGTGCTGTCACAAAGAAACACCCATTATAAAGTCTAAAACACACCAGAATCTTTTAAATCAAAGTCAGTATACCAGTAACTTTGAATATCTACAGTGAGGCATCCCCTTTGTAAACTTCTTACTTCCCTGTCAATCTCTTGAGAAACTACTGATGTCAGAATACCAGGAGATGTACTCCTCCGTCTCTAAATGTAAAAGTCATCTTCTCAACACAATGCCCTACCTTCATCCAGATGGAAAGATCATCCAGCTGAAGTGTTGTAAAGGTTTCGTTCAGGTACATCTTCAGCGCTGCTGCTCGTGAGCCAATCTGTGGCAGGGTCTGATAGTTACTGCTGCTAGCTCCAACAAAAACACCATAGTCACAGCGTGCTCCTGCCTTTGCAAGCTGTAAACACAGTTTCACATCTTTTTTTAACGCAGGATGAAGCTTCAATATAATGTCTTGTGAAAGTTGGCTCTGTATCTATGGTCTTCAAAGTTATACCACTATGCAATCTGTGAGTGAGTGACTTCATTTAGATCTGATTGTCTATACTGTTCATTGCTTGTACTGATAAAGGAAAGTGAAGTGACCCTTGTGTGAATGAAGTGATCTGCATGATCTGGCCATGCCTCAAGTGAGTCACATGAACCTATCAGGAGTCCTGCTTTGGAATTCAAACCACATTTATAAAAGTGGATATGACATAGCAAGGCTTAAATAAGATGATGAGGAGGATGCTGAGAGGAAAGCTTATGAGGTTGGTGTTTTGAAAGGTTTAGTGTCAGAAAGTGCCAATCTGCCTGATGACGTCATGATAGTGGTTTGGAAAGGTAGGCACACATTACATTAGGGTCATTTAGCCTTGGCCAGGCTCAGTACTAAATAATATCTCACAAGTGATTGGCATTTAAAATGTCCTATAACAGCATGTTTAGGTTTAAATGTGAAACTTAACTACTGACCAACATTATTTACTAATGTAATAACAAAATCAGACCAATACAACAAAATCTCATTTGATATGAAATTTGTACTCTTCTGTTTTACGTATGAATACATGTAGAGTAGCCTTGTACAGCAATGGTACAAAATGACGTACCATTTGTATCTGTTCACCTTTAAGAGACTTATGATTCTAGTACACTGCCCTCCTACATGTTAAGATCTATCTACCTAGGATGTTTCATGTTGATACCTATTATAGTTTTAGTGTAATGCTTCAGACAAAATTTAAGTATGAAAAATAACAAAGGGCAATAACCCATGCAAAAAAGAGTGATGATTATGCACTTCTCCTTGACAACATCTATGTACCTATACAGTTTCATGTTTATACTTCTTATAGCTTTAGTGTAATGCTCCGGACAAAATTAGGACGGACGGACGGACGGACGGATGGATGGACAAGGTGGTGACTCATAAAAGGCATGTATTTTGACTCCTATCAAACCATTTCATTAGAACTCATAATTCAGAAAACATGGTCTTTTTTCAGGTAGATATTTAAAAAGATTTTTTTTAGTTAAGATCATATTATGACATATTTAATAAATCTGTAATTGAACTAAGCTAGCTTGGTATGAATCAACACGTAGACCTTGGCTTAGATTCACGTATGAGATTTTTTATATAATACTGACCATTAGAATTATGATGATTATTACTGACACCTAGTTGTAGATATATCCAGGAACTGACCAGAGATTGAAACACTAACAATTATTACTGGTCTAACACACAGAAATCACACAGACTATCAGATAATAAACCTTCTGTGTGATGTTAAATGCTGCTTCGTCTACTGTTGGAGGATTGGTGTTGGGCATGGCCAATATCATGGTGACTCCTCCAGCTAGAGCTGCAGCAGTAGCAGAGGACCAATCTTCTTTGTGTGTGGCTCCAGGCTCCCTCACATGAACATGTACATCAACAAATCCTGCAATGATTACAGGACAGGTAAATAATACAACACACCAACAAACCTCTTAAAATGATTACCTAACAAACCCATCAAAGGATTTCCCGCAAAACTTAAAACAAAAGTCATGACAACATGTTCTTGAATGACAACAGACAAGTCAACAAGACATTAGCCCTCAATGGTCACGACAAGTCAACCAAACATTAGCACTGAAACAACAGACAACTCAAAAAAGACATTCAACCCAAGCCCTGAAACAACGGACAAGTCAACCTAGGACACAAGCACTGAAACAACAGACAAGTCAACCTTAGACACAAAACCCTGAAACAACTGACAAGTCAACCTAGGACACAAGCCCTGAAACAACAGACAAGTCAACCTAGGACACAAGCCCTGAAACAACTGACAAGTCAACCTAGGACACAAGCCCTGAAACAACTGACAAGTCAACCTAGGATACAAGCCCTGAAACAACAGACAAGTCAACCTAGGACACAAGCCCTGAAACAACTGACAAGTCAACCTAGGACACAAGCCCTGAAACAACTGACAAGTCAACCTAGGATACAAGCCCTGAAACAACAGACAAGTCAACCTAGGACACAAGCCCTGAAACAACAGACAAGACAACCTAGGATACAAACCCTGAAACAACAGACAAGTCAACCTAGGACACAAGCCCTGAAACAACAGACAAGACAGCCTAGGATACAAGGCCATATTTTATTACAAGATATCATAAAGCGATATTGGGACCAACCATTGTTATGGAATAATTTGACCTTAACACATTATTCAAATTTCAAATTTATGACAGTCAGCAGATACAACTCCTATATTTTGACCTTATCTCTTACCTGGCAGTCGGATTGACCTGTGTGAAGCAATGCAGTCTATGTGTGTCTTGACTGGTGGAGATCCCTGGATCCTTCTTAGAGCCTGTCATCAGAAATGGTTACACATCTACTGTCAACATCTTTATCTTGACTCAAAAAAATTCCCTAACATTTTTCTGAAATTGATCCCTTTTAAACAAGTATGTAAACTTATTCAATATAGCAATTTGTTAAAGTTAAATGTTCTAATTTTGTCATCAAAATCACAAGAAGAAGTCACATTTTTGCAATATAAAACATACGGACAACAGAATTGTCATTTTATTCTATGATTAAAACAAAAGTATTTTTGTAATTAAATAAATGACTTTATTTTTTAGTTTTTTTAAAGATGTACCTCAACAATAAGCTTGGTACACTTGACGTCTGTGATGAGCGGTACGGAGTAGTCGACAGCCATTCGTCGGGTTCTGTAGCCTTGGGTAACAAAGGAAGAAGCCCTGTAGGACCCAGCGTTTCTCAGTGGCAAGTTGATGACAAGGTCAAACATGTTATCAGCTAGGTAGTCAGCGATAGTACGCTGTTCACCTCCACTCTTCACCTCTCCAGTATCCTCGTACGGCCAGTCAACTGGTTTTATCTACAAAGCCAGAAATCAGTAGCAGGTCAAATTTTACTTTGAGTTATTACCCATTAGAATCTTTTGTCCTACGTAAGACCTTATGGATGAGAATTCTGTCTTGCAGTTATACTTAAATCTCTTAAATGAATATTTATTACTTAATCCCAAAACATATCAAATCAAGAAAATGTATTCTGCTTGAGGAAAAAAAATGATCCAAGCTACATTTGGAAAAATGTTTATCTAAAATTCCTTAGAATGTCTTTTTCCTTTATTAAGAAAAGAATGTAATAAAGATATAAATTTTCTCAAACCATACATACATCAAACTTTACCTGAAGACAAACCTATGTAATATAGCATATTGTGTATTGAAAGTGTTATACAGACTTTCAAGTTCACTTAAATGTTTCTGATGGATTCCTCATTATTCTTATCATAAAAATTTGTGAATTTCATGAATTTCACCAAAAAATTATTTCAAAGCATTTCTAATACTATTTTTCCTGTAATATTTATGGAACTAGATCCATGAGTACCAATCTAATAATTTGAGGAACTAATGAATAACTCATTTTGTAATGTTGATGTGAATACTTGAGAAGACTTTAACAGTTTGTTCACCTGTAGAATGTGTGTGTGTTATATGAACAGAATGTTTACCTGTAGACTGTGTGTGTTATATGAACAGTATGTTTACCTGTAGATGGTGTGTGTTATATGAACAGAATGTTTACCTGTAGACTGTGTGTGTTATATGAACAGAATATTTACCTGTAGATGGTGTGTGTTATATGAACAGTATGTTTACCTGTAGATGGTGTGTGTTATATGAACAGTATGTTTACCTGTAGATGGTGTGTGTTATATGAACAGAATATTTACCTGTAGACTGTGTGTGTTATATGAACAGTATGTTTACCTGTAGACTGTGTGTGTTATATGAACAGAATATTTACCTGTAGACTGTGTGTGTTATATGAACAGGATGTTTACCTGTAGACCATGTGCTTTATATGAACAGTATGTTTACCTGTACATGGTGTGTGTTATATGAGAAGTATGTTTACCTGTAAACTGTGTGTGTTATATGAACAGTATGTTTACCTGTAGATGGTGTGTGTTATATGAACAGTATGTTTACCTGTAGACTGTGTGTGTTATTGAACAGTATGTTTACCTGTAGACCATGTGCTTTATATGAACAGTATGTTTACCTGTACATGGTGTGTGTTATATGAGAAGTATGTTTACCTGTAAACTGTGTGTGTTATATGAACAGTATGTTTACCTGTAGATGGTGTGTGTTATATGAACAGTATGTTTACCTGTAGATGGTGTGTGTTATATGAACAGTATGTTTACCTGTAGATGGTGTGTGTTATATGAACAGTATGTTTACCTGTAGACTGTATGTGTTATATGAACAGTATGTTTACCTGTAGACTGTGTGTGTTATATGAACAGTATGTTTACCTGTAGATGGTGTGTGTTATATGAACAGTATGTTTACCTGTAGACTGTATGTGTTATATGAACAGAATGTTTACCTGTAGACTGTGTGTGTTATATGAACAGTATGTTTACCTGTAGACTGTGTGTGTTATTGAACAGTATGTTTACCTGTACATGGTGTGTGTTATATGAACAGCATGTTTACCTGTAGACTGTGTGTGTTATTGAACAGTATGTTTACCTGTACATGGTGTGTGTTATATGAACAGTATGTTTACCTGTAGACCGTGTGTGTTATATGAACAGAATGTTTACCTGTAGACTGTGTGTGTTATATGAACAGGATGTTTACCTGTAGACTGTGTGTGTTATATGAACAGTATGCTTACCTGTAGACCGTGTGTGTTATATGAACAGTATGTTTATCTGTACATGGTGTGTGTTATATGAACAGTATGTTTACCTGTAGATGGTGTGTGTTATATGAACAGTATGTTTACCTGTAGACTGTGTGTGTTATATGAACAGTATGTTTACCTGTAGACTGTGTGTGTTATATGAACAGTATGTTTACCTGTAGACTGTGTGTGTTATTGAACAGTATGTTTACCTGTAGACCATGTGCGTTATATGAACAGTATGTTTACCTGTACATGGTGTGTGTTATATGAGAAGTATGTTTACCTGTAGACTGTGTGTTATATGAACAGTATGTTTACCTGTAGATGGTGTGTGTTATATGAACAGTATGTTTACCTGTAGATGGTGTGTGTTATATGAACAGTATGTTTACCTGTAGACTGTATGTGTTATATGAACAGAATGTTTACCTGTAGACTGTGTGTGTTATATGAACAGTATGTTTACCTGTAGATGGTGTGTGTTATATGAACAGTATGTTTACCTGTAGATGGTGTGTGTTATATGAACAGTATGTTTACCTGTAGATGGTGTGTGTTATATGAACAGTATGTTTACCTGTAGACTGTGTGTGTTATATGAACAGTATGTTTACCTGTAGATGGTGTGTGTTATATGAACAGTATGTTTACCTGTAGATGGTGTGTGTTATATGAACAGTATGTTTACCTGTAGACTGTGTGTGTTATATGAGAAGTATGTTTACCTGTACATGGTGTGTGTTATATGAACAGAATGTTTACCTGTAGATGGTGTGTGTTATATGAACAGTATGTTTACCTGTAGATGGTGTGTGTTATATGAACAGTATGTTTACCTGTAGATGGTGTGTGTTATATGAGAAGTATGTTTACCTGTAGACTGTGTGTGTTATATGAACAGTATGTTTACCTGTAGATGGTGTGTGTTATATGAACAGTATGTTTACCTGTAGATGGTGTGTGTTATATGAACAGTATGTTTACCTGTAGACTGTGTGTGTTATATGAACAGTATGTTTACCTGTAGACTGTGTGTGTTATATGAACAGTATGTTTACCTGTAGATGGTGTGTGTTATATGAACAGTATGTTTACCTGTAGACTGTGTGTGTTATATCAACAGTAAGTTTACCTGTAGTCCATGTGTGTTATAAAAGTCAGCAGTGCCCATACTGGCATACAGATTGTACCCCATCTTCAGCAGGGTCTTCACAGTTGGCAGAAGCTCTGTCTTAGACTAAAAAATCAGAAGAAACAGACTCTTAAAGTAAAATCATTATCATAGTATGATTCTTTTTTATCTAAAACAAATCATCTTTATTCAATTTTTGAAATAGAATTATCACTTAATAGATTGAAAAAAAATATGCACAAGTATCGAAAAGCTTTAACTATAATCTTTTCCCCTCTATTTACAGATATGAAGGTCTCTTCAACTTAATTCAAAAATTAACCTTGGTCTCATGCATTACCTTGAAGCTTCCTATGGAAAGAAGGATGTTTTTGCGTGGAATTTTGAACCCTGTTGAAATCTGTGCTTTGAGATAGGCTTCGTAGCGGTTCTCGCCAAAGCATGCTACCTCTCCAGTACTTGCCATTTCAACACCCAGCAGAACGTCGGCACCATGCAGCCTTGAGAAGGAGAACATTGGTACCTGAAAGAAGCCAACAACACAAGATTTATCATACCTTTATCATTGAAATATACTATATTTATCCTACAAGATGTTCGAGAAGACCTACAAATGTACACATAATCTATGATAAAATATATCAGTGGTAGGTTAATTACACTGTATTAATCCTATGAGAGAAGATTTTGAGGACCTTTACATAATCTATATATTCACAAATGTTCCTATTCATTTGACACAATTTATCTAGATAAATATCGACACTTATTATCTAACAATACTGAAGAAAAGATCTGAGTAGGCTTACCTTGACTGCCACTTTCCCAACTCCATACAGGACACTGATTGGTTCTAACTTCTCACCCTTAATCACTCTGGTTGCTGTGGCAATAAAGTCATGATCTAAAGCTTTGGACACAAATGGAAATGACCTTGATACTCTGACATTGCACTCAATGACCTTCAGTTGGTTGTCCTAGATTGGAAGAGAAAAATAAATACTATAAATGATGACCACTTTTGTCAGCCTCTGTTCTGAGAAGTCACAATTCTAGAATTACATGTATAATCATATTGAATGACCATCACCTTTGCCGACCTTAGCTTCACCTTGATATGTGCCTACCTTGGCTATGAGCTGGAGATTAAATGGCCCAGTGACTTCTAAGGCTTGACCAATAGCGCAGCAGATCAGTTTGATCTTGGCCAGTGTTTCTTCATTGAGATCCTGTGGTGGAGTAACTAGAGTTGCGTCCCCTGAATGAACTCCAGCATTTTCAACATGCTCTGATACTGCCATACAAATCACTTCACCATCACATGCCACCGCATCTACATCAATTTCCTAGAAATAAAAACAAGGGGTGTTGAAAAAAAATGATAAGCATCGAAACCAACTGTCTCTTCTCCCATGTAAGTCGGCTGATGAACTTCATGGGGGCCTTCACTCGACTCTTAGCTAATTCACTTTTAAATTTCATTTCAGGTTCTGTCTGGTTATTGGTTGTAAAATCACATCTTTTTTACTTTATAATACATTACCACATACAGAATATATATAACCTTAGATCGCTTGGATAGTGAAGTAGTCAAAGTATTAAATACAAATTAAGAAATATATGTCTGACCTTGGCTTCCAGGATGAACTTTGAGATGACGACGGGGTTGTCCTTGGAGAGTGCGCTGGCTTGAGTAAGGAAAGTCTCCAGATCATGGTGAGAATGTGCCACATTCATAGCTGCCCCACTCAACACGTAAGATGGACGCACCAGACATGGGTAACCAACTTCCTCACAGAACAGCTTAGCATTCTGAAGAATCAAACAAATATTGGAACACTGTCATCTGTCACAGTGTTAAACTCATTACTGATTTGACAAGGGAGAATTGTTTCACTTAAACTCATTTCTTTTATTCACTCAAATTAAACAGCCTGTGGCAATATACTGAGAGCACTCGTAAAATGTTACATGGTTAACCAAACACAACACTGACAACATATTAAATAGATATATGGAAACAACTTTGTATTTTATCTACAGCAAAAGAAGAATGCTGGTATTGCAGATGATGTTTTTTATCATCAGTTGATTAAACAAAGCCATAAACCATATGTAATGCAAGATGAAACATTTCCATAGAGTAAGACCAAAATGTCACTGATAAAAAATGAGATGTCTGCCACCACAATTGTAAAAACATGATGCCTAAATTACAACTATATTAATAACTGATGATCTAATGATGACCTTGTGATGACCTTGTGATGACTCCAAAAGATGATCTGTTTTTGTCTATAGAAGCTGGAGAATTCACATAATGAAACAAAACATTGGTAATTTTACTGTATAGCAAGACCAAAACTGGGTGGGCATATTTGCAGGCATGGGTTTATACATCTGAACATTAAAATCTTTGATACCATTGGGACTAGCCCTAAGAGCTTTAAAAGGTCTGTATATTCTTTTAAATGGTTCTTAACAAACCTCCATGTTGGTGAGTTCTTTCCATTGTGGCTGGCTAATTCCCATGTTGTCAAGCATTCTGGAGAACTTGAATCGATTCTCTGCATTGTCTATACTTTCAGGAGATGTACCAAGTATTCGTGCCTACAACGATAATGACATGTTATTCAATTATTGACAATCTAATTTGAATTCTGATTGGAGACAAAACCACTAATAGGTATAACTGGAGCATTGCTTCCACCACTTGAGATTAAAAGATATTGATAATTACCATACTTTGAAATCAAATAATCCTCTCCCTAAACAAGTGACCAAGGGGAATAGCCCCTTCTCCCTACTAGTGACCAAGGGGAATAGCCCCTTCTCCCTACTAGTGACCAAGGGGAATAGCCCCTTCTCCCTACTAGTGACCAAGGGGAATAGCCCCTTCTCCCTACTAGTGACCAAGGGGAATAGCCCCTTTCCCCTACTAGTGACCAAGGGGAATAACCTATTCCCCTAACTAGTGACTGAAGGGAATAACCCCTTCCCCCTACTAGTGACCAAGGGGAATAACCTATTCCCCTAACTAGTGACTGAAGGGAATCTACATATAAATGGTTAATCACTCCAATGCATATTTCATTTGATATCAAATTAAACACCTTTTTATCCAAGCACGTTATTGTAAATTTATGGTGACTATATGATCAGAGGCAAGGTTCTGACTCACTTTTCACCTTAAAAGTGGGTCAAGGTTACTTATTTCAACAACTTGGAAAAGCACCTTATCAAAGGTCTTACTGCTGGTAAGAGGTTTCTTAGCTATTGAGAATATGACACCAAAAGGACAACAGATTCTGAATTCCGAACTATGGCAAAGGCTAACTTGTCCTTCAGGCAAATGAGATTAAAACTTGCAAGAAGATAATAAAGTGAAGATACAATCATTAACTAACAGTCAAGGGAGATAACTTACTTGTTGTCGGTGAAGTGCCATAGCAATGTTGTTTGGGAGTTGTCCCCCCATGGACAGGATGATGCCATCTGGTTCTTCCATAGTGTAGATATCCATCACAGTCTGAAACAATGATGATCACATGTCTACAGGTACTTGGTCTAAGTCAGACATTTGATCACATGTCTACAGGTGGTTAGTCTAAGTCAGACATTTGATCACATGTCTACAGGTGGTTAGTCTAAGTCAGACATTTGATCACATGTCTACAGGTGGTCAACAGGTGGTCAGTCTAGGCTAATTTGATCACATGTCAGGCAGGTGGTTAGTTAAAACATTTGATCACATGTCTACAGGTGGTTAGTGTAAGTCAGACATTTGATCACATGTCTAACTAACAGTCTACAGGTGGTTAGATAACTTATTTGATCACATGTCTACAGGTGGTTAAGTGCCAGTCAGACATTTGATTGTCTACAGGTGGTTAGTCCCCCCATGGACATTTGATCACATGTCTACAGGTGGTCAGTCTAAGTCAGACATTTGATCACATGTCTACAGGTGGTTAGTCTAAGTCAGACATTTGATCACATGTCTACAGGTGGTTAGTGTATGTCAGACATTTGATCACATGTCTACAGGTGGTTAGTCTAAGTCAGACATTTGATCACATGTCTACAGGTGGTTAGTCTAAGTCAGACATTTGATCACATGTCTACAGGTGGTTAGTCTAAGTCAGACATTTGATCACATGTCTACAGGTGGTTAGTCTAATTTAGATATTTGATCACATGTCTACAGGTGGTTAGTCTAATTTAGATATTTGATCACATGTCTACAGGTGGTTAGTCTAACTCACATAAGAATTAGATCCTTCATAAAGAAGGATGAAAGACATATCTTATAGTTGTCACTGGTGTAATGTTATTGAAATGGAAATTGAAGTAAGTAAAACACCAAATGTTTGAATAAATCCTGATATGACTGAAAATGATGAATCAATAGCCAAAAACTTAAATGACAACACCAATACTTGGTTATACTTCTCAAACACAAAATTCTGCAAAGTTACATTCGTGCAGTATTTTTTACCTCAAAAGAGATCTCGTCAAAGTAGAGGCGGTCACACATATCGTAGTCAGTACTGACAGTCTCTGGGTTGTAGTTGACCATGATAGTCTTGTGGCCCATCTGTAACATTAAATATGTGTGAGTTTCTACTGATATGATAAAGGCAGTGTATTAATACATTGATTCACTACAGAATTCACAAAAACTTTCCTATACATCAACTTAGGGCCATCAGCCCAGTGGCTAATTACTGTTTCATGCTAGAAAGACAAGTAATTTAACAGATGGTAATCCTAAATTATATCATACACATGTAAAATAAATATGGCTTCTGTGTATGTTTGGGATATTTCTTACAGTCTGAACAAGTAGTCCTGATTTAACTGCTGTCAGAGTTAAGTTATAATTGTTAATTTAAGAATTATCAAGAACAATAAAAAAAAAAAGGTCCAAAGGAATTTTAGCTCCAAGAATTGTATGATCTTTATTTATTTTTCAAAAGTTGGTTCATTTCCCTTCTTTTCTCTAAATCTTTTTCTATTTTTGCTCATATGGAATTTGAATGTCTTTTTTTCAATAAATACCAATTATAACCTTTAACTGTTAAATAAGAGATGGTTGCCTCTTGGCAAATTGGCAATGTATATTTAGGCACTAAGGAGAACCTATATAATTTGTGAAATTGCTCTATCTCTGCTACTGGGCCCCTGCCCCTCCTTCGCCTGATGCCTGAAACCCAATGTTCATACAAAATTGATCCTCTTCACCAAAGCATGTTTCAGACCAAAATTTGGACAGAATCCGGGCATTCATACATCAGAATCACCTACTTGGCCCTATCCCTCATGCCTGAGGAGTCTGAGATCCATTGTTTATACAAAATGATTCCCCTTTACCAGAGCATATGTCAAAAGAAGTTGGAACTGTATTCAGGTACAGAAGAAGAGATATTTTAAAGAATTTGTTATATCTCCCCTATTGGGCCCTGGCCGTCCTACTCTCTGCTTTCATAAAATTGATTCCCATTCACAAAAGAATGCTTCAGAACATTTAAAACACTGAGACAACATCAAAACAATAATGTATACAGTGCTAGTTTTAAGGACTGTATTGAGAACTGACATAATGAACATTGATCATTTCATTACATTTGTATCTGGAATAAACTAGTTTGCTTTACACTGCTTCTATACATTATCAGTAATCTTTGTATGTGTAAATGATACCCAACAAATACCTGGTTAAACTTAACCAGACAGTGGACAAAAATCTTTACTAGCTGAAAAAATCAATATCAAACATTTGCTATCAATAATAGATATTTCTGCGAACACATCTGATCATTTTTTTTCCAACAGGTGATGATAATAAAAAACGAAGTGAGCAGTGGCACACATATTTATATCCTGGATCAGGCAGTATACTGTTATCCTGTAATTCATCTTTTATTTCACCAAATCTATTCCAAGGTTCATGAGATATCTTGTACACAAGGCTTTTATTTCGAAAGTGGTCAAGGGTGGCCTTTGACCTTTTAACTTTACCAATGACTACCAAAATCTATCCTTGGTGTTGATTTCAGGGTGTAAATATGAACTAAAATTAGGGGTTATATAACCTTCAATCTTTTTATTTCCAAGGCCATCAAGGTCGATGTGGGACCTTAACTTTGACCAATGACTACAAAACTCTCACCAATGGTAGACAATTGTGTTGTGATGCTGTGTTGTGAATATGAACCAAATCCTTTCAGGGGTTCAAGGGATATCTCATACAAATCTTTTTATTTCTGAAGTGGTCAAATGTGACTTTTGATCTTTGACCTTTTCCAATGATCACCAAATCCTAATCAAGTGTAGACCTTGGTTTTATGATGTGTTCAGGTGCTCAAGAGATATCTTGTACACACAGACTACTGATGTACGGAATTTGAATAACCCACCATCATCAAGATGTTGGGCTAATGAAAAAGATAATTGATTTTTTAATATGAAGTTGATTATTGAGATACAATCAAAGAAGTTGTAATTTAGTTACCTCCCTTAGTTCTTGGATACAGTTGACTGCACACCAGTCAAACTCCACACTGCTGCCAATGCGATAGACACCAGAACCAATCACCATAACATAGCCCCCGGGGAATTTGAGGTCATGGGATGCAGCATTGTACGTTAGGTACAAGTAGTTAGTCTGGGCTGGCCATTCTGCTGCCACTGTGTCAATCTGTTTTACAAAAGGTGTGATCTTCATCTCTGTTCTCAATTTCCGGACCACCAAGCTTGTACTGAGGAATGAAATTTTGATATCAGATTAACAAGAGGAGTGAAAATGGACCAATCCTACACATTCAACAATATTGATATTTTTGTTTCAAAATGGTAGAAAAGTACTAATATTTTTCTTTATTTCATAAGCACAGCAATATATTTAAGTGAGTTATGAAAAAATGAGAGTAAACATTAGTGTCAGAGATACAGAATGTAAAAATAATGGTCTTTTCAACCAACCTCTCAACTGCAGTAGCTATCTGTTCATCACAAAAGCCCAGTTGTTTGGCCACCATCATCGATGTTCGGGGAATTTCATTGGCCTTAAAGATAAATGCATGTGATGAAATTTTGTTATTTTAAACAAATTGTTACATTTGGAAACAGAAACTGTTTTTTCTCATATTCCGAATTATAAGCCGCAGCTTTTTTTCCTCAGCGAATGACGATGTGGTAGACTGAAGGGAGAGAAGAAAAAATTAAAGTGTAATTCTGGACATTGGTTCCCGACTGTTATGTATTTCGGAACGACCATTTGGTCGAGGAATATCACATGCACTATTGACCTGCATGACCTCACACCCTGATAATTTTGATTGCTGTGACATGCCTTGCTTCCTGAGAGAATAAAAATTAGTGATTAAGACCAAATATACCATTATGAGACGTCCATACCAAGTTTTTACAAGTACCTGTCCATCACATGTTTGTGACTGAAACAGATTGTCCAAACCGGTCATTTACAACTGTAGACAGGACGATTTTAAGATTAAAATTAAAACAACATTTTCATGGATTTAATTTATTATACCTTTTAATATGAATCACAATAATATCTTCAGAACTTTTGTGGTTGCTTCGGAAGCCATAGCGGAAGTTTACAATAGCCTGTTGCATGCTGGGATCGATAGGTCATTGGGTCAAATTCTAGAACGATCACCATGCTTGTTTACAATAAGAATGGCTTAGTGTAAGAAATAATATGGGACTATTAGAATTTTGTCAGCATGCAAGGACTTTCGCTAATATTTAACAGCACAGACACTGTTGGAAATATTGTTAAGTAAACCATACGTAATGTCAGGCCCCTGTGTTGACAATCTTTGAAGGCTCCCAAGGAAAACAAATCTGATAATGGCTATTTTACGTTTTTGAAACACATCAATGAAATAAATGATTATCTTTGTATAATTCATTTGCAAACTTATACTAAAATGTTTCACTAACAATCTTGATAAATTGCCTTTCATTTTCTGTTTTATCAACAAACTTTGGTCAACATAATGGTTACAATATCGTAAGAAAAGGTGCAGCTTATATTCCGATGCAGCTAATATGTGGATCAAAATGAAAAAAATGATAAAAACTGGCTGTGCAGCTTACACATCAGTGCAGTTTTTAACACAAAAAATATGGTACTCTTCATTTTCACATGTATCTTACAATATTTTCATCATATTCAATAATCTATCATTATACTGTCTACCAATCATCATTACGACCATCCTGATAGGATTTCCTACAACAGTTGTTACAAAAGACTATAATGATAAACGATCTCTGTGATGCTATTCACTCCGAGGTCCCTGTCTTACCCTTCCTCTGTAGGCCTCTAGGTCTGTGTAGTAGTCTGTGATGTTCTTGAACTTGTTGAGGAACCATTTGTCAATCTTCGTCAGCTCATACAGTGTATCAATGGTGTAATTTTGTTTCAGTGCAGCAGCCAGCACAAAAATTCTCTGATCAGTAGGGTTTTGTAGTTCCTAGCAAATCATCAAAGTACAAGCATATATTAATTGTGTCCTTACTTCATTTAAATGTACTTAAAGTATGTTCTTTTTCCCTGTCTGGTTTTCACATATAAAGTCACAATGTAAAGAGTTATCTTCCCTATTAAGTTATGTCTATTAACATAGTTCCTCTTTTCTTTGTGTAGAGTTATTTCCCTTCCAAGAATTTTAATCTCCCTTATCAAGTGTTCTAGATATCATTGAACCATTTCAAAGAGATATTTTCCATTTCTAGCTTTCAAGAGCATTAATTCTCATTCTAAACATTCTTATAATAATTATATTTGCAAAGAAACCATCCATCATCAAACACTACCTCAACATAAATAGTTCTGAATTTATACATTCCTTATAAAAATTACAGTTGGAATATATCTTTCTCATTAAACCAAAGCATAACTGTTAAATCAATCACAGGCCATGGAATTGTAGATGTTGCGAAACAAGTACATAATGTATGTTGCTATATTAAGTGCATGGTATACTTTAGTATAAAATCTAAATTTAGACTTCTGACAGAAGTATGCGAGAATATTAAAATTTTTCTCCCTTTGCTTTAAAACTATTCATAAATCTATTTACCAGAATGGGACTGTGGAAAAGTGAGATATTTTACAATATGTATGATATATACTGTTCTTAAGATGTAGAAATTTCTTTCTAAAAAATCATTAGATTTTTATTGATAGTTTGACCATACAAATCAAATATCAAAAGAAATTGCTAGAGTTTGAATCAAAATAACTTTTTTTTTCAATCCAACTGAGCTTTCCACAAGAAAAGCTTGAAGTTTTCTCCTGAAGATGAGAAAGGTTATTAGATTGAGGACGGGAAAGTCCAGACTTTGTTATGGGATAACAATGAGACGCCACAAAGGTTGGTAAAGGCATTCAGGATGAGGAGAAAAAGGGGAAATAACTATGTTTTGGTATAATGGAGTGTTTCTAACAGAACTTGGGTATTTTTCACCACACAGCAAAATGTTTCAAACAATCACAAACTTTTCCTATACCATAGATCATTGAATATAGATACCTGGATATCTGTTCTGTAGTATGACTGGTTAAAATTTGATAGTATAATATTACTAGAATATCATGTGGCAGAGTCAGGCAGATTAAACTTTCCTCTGTAATAAGAATATATCTCCATGTGTGAGTGAAGGAAGCTGGCATGTGTGTAAGGATAAAAAAATACACTTACAATTGCTAATTATTGTGTTCATTTTGCCTAAAAATATCAACTGTGCATATAAAATGTTTATATAGGTGTAAAACTACATTTACTATACCGTAATCGCCACTGAGTACAATTAATCCTGATTATAGAGGTTTCAATGTCTAGAATTCATCCTTTAGAGTATCAATTTGACCTTAAAGGCTATTGAAAATTAACCAACATGCATTTCAGCATCTGATTGTGTACCACTTCATATCATCACAACTGAATTAGTTTCAACTTGTAATTCCGTTTAGTAAAAAATTACTTTTTCAATAACACCTATGACACTATGAATACTTTAAAATAACTAAAACAGAAATGTTTGTTTCTAAAAGAAATTGTTCAAAATTATAGATGACTTCCAATTTTTTTTTTTCTTAATAGATTTTTTACCTAATAACTTCAATTCCTGTTAAGAACACACAACCACTTTTCCCTTCAAAACAGTCTGACCATTTGAGTTGGAAGTATTTTGATAAAATTGAAATCAGAATAGACAACCATGTTAACATAGAGACCTATGGTTAATAAATCTTTATTAATTAAACTATTCTACTTAAAGGCCAATTGTCTGAATAGAAGAAACCGTAAGTAACATCATGTGTATTGTCAGGTACTGATATATCTGGGGGTATCATCCTTACAACATGAGAATCCATAACCCACTAGCACTCTAGAACATTTGACATAGAAGCAAACGTGTGCTTTAAACTTACCTTTAGGTAGTCACCCTGATAACACACAAACATGTCTTTTATCACCTACATCAATCTCCGACATTATCATGATTAAATCATTGTGTCAATAACTCATGCCTTTTACCTCTTACATCAATTCACCAGTCTAGTTATTTAAACCTCTAATTTTTTTAAAGCAAATTTTTCGTGCCATTTTTATTTCTATTTAAAGTATTGTACCCCTGTATTTTCTAGACCTGTCTGATGTAAGCTTTTATTTTCCAGTTTAATACTTTTTTTTTCAGTTCTCTTATTTTGATAAGATTTTTTAGTTCAAACCTCTCATCCTTCAGCAATAGTTTCTCCTTTCCTCTACAGCCATTTTAATCTACATGTAACATGCATCATGATTGGCTGAATCTGTCATTCTTAAGAAGTAAGATCACCCTACCATTAAAGTCTTTAAACAAGCTGTGCTAAACAATAGCTATTAGAGACAGAATATACTGTAACTTGCCTCTCAAAAGTAAAACACATTGTCACATAACTGTGTGTATTACTACAAAATAAATGTAAGTACAGTGCTGTCGGCCTCTTCTGTGATAAGGATAGACAGTAGCCATGGAAAGCCGTCGGTAAGTTAGCAAGAAATTAGAAATATCTTTAAGTATCATTTAGACTGTAACCTTTCTTTTTAGTAGACTCAACTTCAACAAAAGAAATGTTTATCTATGCATTTAGCACTGATAAGAATTAGCTACAAGCATCATCTACATTCTTGAAGATTTCAAGAAGAGGCAGGTTCAAATTATCCCAACATAAGAACTCACGCTTTCAGATACAGCCTTCAGGTAGGGATCAAAGCCTTCCTTTGTGTCATCCATCATGCGAAGGGCTTTCTGTATGGCCTCCTCAAATTTGCGTCCGACAGCCATTACCTCCCCAACACTCTTCATAGAGCTTCCGATCTACCAAATAGAATGGAGATGAGACACAACACATTAAAAATACTGTATCAGAGTTTGGTATTCAATTGTCAAGATGTTGTCCTGTTGAAAAGTGAATTTGAAATTTGTTGAGGTTTCCAGTCAAAAACCACACTATTAATTGCGAACATAATTACTAGTACAAATCTGCATAGGCAAACAACCAAAATTCCAGTTACGATGTTCCAGGACCTTGGAGATATGACTTTAGTTGAGTGTTATAACATTATCAATTGATATGAAAAACAATACTATAATGTATGTTAAAAATGAAATAGGGTTCGTGTCAAATTGGAGACAATCTAATCCGATATTTGCAACAATAATTTTCTTTCTAACAAAACTAATATGGTGGAATACTTTCTGGTCAAACACAGAAGGAAAGAGTAATGTTTAAATTATCAATAATTTCTAATTAATTAAAAACTTTATACTATTATTGTTTCCATAACAAATTTCAGACATTATCTTCAAGAAAGATGTTTTAACTTCAAAATGAAAACTCTTTACCTTTGTTGACACACGTGAGAACTTCTTGAGATCCCAGCGAGGAATTTTCACCACACAATAATCAAGACTGGGTTCAAAGCAGGCTGTTGTGGTATAGTCCTTTGAACTTGTCACTGAGTTTGGTTGATCAGGGAGGGACATACCTAAGGCTAGCTTTGCTGCTATGTAGGCTAAAGGATAGCCGGTGGCTTTACTGGCCAGGGCAGAGCTCCTAGACAGACGGGCATTTACCTCAATAATGTAATACTGTGTGAATAAAAAGATAAGCTTTCTATGAAGTAATTATTAAACATGTTTTTAACCAAACTTTCTATTTCAACTTGGGTAAATATTTAGTTTATAATAATCTAAAAGCATCAGCATTTCAGAAAGTCAGACATGTCCCATGTTCAAGCTCCATGGGCAGATGTACTGCAATCCATACAAGACAAAACAAAATGAAAGTGAAAATTATTTCACAAGATTCTTGTAAGCCTAACCGGACATCTGACCAACATACTGGGCAATTATTGCTCTACATGTAAAGCAAGACACATAATATGTAGATATTTCCTTTAATCAACTTTACAAACTATTTCCATGTGTATCAGGTTGAGTAATGCAGATACTTATGGTCAATCAACCCTTTCTTAACCCTACCTACTGTTTATATCTTTTAATATCTCTTTAAAACCCTCACACTATAACCCTGGTACCAGCCTTGGGCTGTAGCTCAAAGTGCAAGAACATAAACCCCTAAATCTAATGTCATTGAAGGTCACTTGACATTTTAAATTTCACATATGATCAATTACACTGCAGGTATATTTTATATGGTCATCAAATGTTCCATGTCAAATTGGTTATAAATCTTATCAATGTAAAAACCAGTCTTTCTATTGCTTTATATCTAATATCAAAGTTATACAACAAGTTATGATAATCAGGAAAGGTATGTCTGAAGGAGTTGATTTGATATAACTGAGTGTTGGGTAAAAGTATATGAGGATGGGGAGGGACAGGGTTATGATAAAGAATATAATAAGGATATAAATAAAAATTATAAGATAACATAAACAGCGGAGATAGCCTATGATACAAGTACAATGAAAGAGAAAAAATCCAAGTATATGAAAAAAATTGTTCTGGTAGCCATATTGTGCTTCTGATGAACATCAAATCAAAGTTTCTTCAAAGTTTTATCAACTTCATTCTAAAGGTATTTGAGTTATTAGTTCAAAATAGTGTAAAAGTTAAGTATAAAAGAATAGGGAAAGCTTATTTGTGAACAACTTTTAGTTCACTAATTTAAAGTGGCTGACTCTATAATAATTAAGAAGGGGGTTTATTGGTGAGGAAAGGTACATATGCGGATAATTACAGTAGATTCTAAAGATAGCGATAAAGGTAGTCATCTTGAATTTCATTTATACTATAAAATGATAGAAGTTGATCAATCCCATAAATTTTCAAAAAATCTGAAAATCTACCAAGGAAAGTTTACTGAAGAAGGACAGCATACGATTGATTGAGCCTTATAGGAATATCTAACTGAGCCCTCAGCTCAGATGAACTAAAAAAGTATTTGCTGCAAATTTAAAGAAATTGAAGCATTCTTTCAAGAGTTATCCTACAGAAATCTAGATGTCTCTAGGATATCAAATTCCAAGAAAGATCATCTCTATGTTGAATTTCAAATCCAGGTCAAATAAATTTTTGTTAGGGAAGATGATTGGTGTTTGTAGAAGAAGCTTTAGTGTGAGTAACACATCAATGAACATTTCATGTCTATGATGGCAACATTGAGCTGGGACAGAACAGGTGCCTTCTACAAAAATCACTTTACAATAAAATATGTTCTTGAGATTGTAACTAATGATGTACCTGATGAGATTCTGGGTTTAGGGCATACTGAATGTTGCATTCTCCTACAACCTGCAGGTGACGGATAACCTTGATTGCAGTAGACCGAAGCATGTTGTAATCAGTATTGGTGAGTGTCTGACTTGGTGCTACCACTATTGATTCACCAGTATGGATTCCAAGTGGATCTACGTTCTCCATATTGCACACCTATACAACAAAAACAAAGGAAGAGGTAGCAAATAATTAGCTGAAGAATATTGTAGTAAAAGAAACCTAACTAATTGACCTTCTGTTTGCTTTTCAATATATCATAGTATGATACATCCTAGAAATATTAATAACTTTATTGATGAAACTTTCAGATCATTTCTTATTTGAATTTTATTGTTGTAATCTTAATTCAATTAGTCAAAATAGATACATCAGCTTGTTAAAACACAAACGACAAACAGATAAATAAATTGGCTGGTCAAGATATATTAAGTTGAGCTTGCTGATAATTTTTTGTGTACTTTACCGTGATACAGTTGTCGTAAGCATCCCGAACCACCTCATATTCAACTTCCTTCCAGCCTTTCAGTGATTTATCAATCAGAACTTGACTCGTGTGAGCAAATGCAGAGTTAGCGAGTGTTAGAAGTTCATCCCTGTTTTCAGCAAATCCTGAACCAAGACCACCCAATGCAAATGCTGCTCGAATTAGCACTGGATATCCAAGGCGCTCAGCTGCTTGTACCACCTACAAATCATATTAGAATTTCAAAAAAGTGACTAGTATTCATTTGTTTACAACTGCAAATATTTCATTAAATCTCAGCTAAGGAAGAAAAATATTCACTTGGCAAACACAAGGCATGCAGAGCGTTTGCAACTCAATCATCTTTGGCCAAAGGTTGATACCTTATTTCACCTGTGATATGGTGAATGATTATTTTTCTATCAACCTTTGGAACTTCTATATATGTAATATTGCTTTCTAAATGCTCATTAGTGTTGACCTAACATTATGAAATTCTTTATTTAAAATCAGATTATTGTTGCAACACACTCCGTTGATGGGAATTCCTCATCTTAACCCTTAACCAGGAAATCTTGTACATGTAAAAAAACATGGATATCACACATCTGTTCTGAATGGAGGAAGTTAAAACAGGAACATGAAACTTAAAATGTTTTTGAGTCACTAACCTGTTCTGTGTTGTAAGCTGCCTCACTAGGAGCTACATATTCATCAATCTCTGCCATCTTGTCAGCAAAAACTTTACGATCTTCAGTCCACAAGATTGACTCAACTTGGGTGCCAAGAACTTTGACCCCAAATTTTTCCAGTGTGCCCAGTTTGGTTAGCTGAACACCACAATTTAGTCCTGTTTGACCTCCAAACGTCAGCAGAATGCCATCTGGTCGCTCGTTTCTAATTACCTGATAAGTGTACAGCATTGCAAGTTAATTACAAGACACCTAACAAGGATGTATGGCTCACCTAAATTTAATTCCAGACAACTCTCAAGATAAACTCATTAAACAAATATTAGAACTAGCATGTTGACACAACCAGATTTAATAGCTGTCTACAGCTAATGGAATATGTTGTAAAACCTTCATTTGATACAATTCATGGGCAGATAAACCAACTGGGTGTTTTCATGAATTGACCACCATGCCGTAGGAACCTATATATAACACATCATCGTTCTGGGTCTTATGGTTAATCAGATGAAATCTCCAAACATTTAAACAAATATTTGATCCCTATTTTCTTGGGTCATGGTCAATTTTTGCAACAAACTATGCCTGGCTTAACACCTAGAATCCATTAGACATATATCATGATTCTAGGTCTTTCCATCAATCAGAAGAAGTCATTTGAGTGCTGCGGTCTGAAAATATGGTATAGGTCATTTCTTTTAACAAACTATGTGTGGCTTTATCTCAGGAAATCACAAACTAAATATTATGATTCTACATGTTTCAATCAATCAGAATATCACAATCAGGCCTGATGCACTAACAAAAGGTCTAATAGGCCTGCATCACCCACCTGGTATTCAATGCTTTTCACAAATATATCATCATTTCAAAACATTCCATGAACCAACCAGCCAAATGTAGATTCCAGGCCTTTTGGTTATATAATCAGAGGTTTTTTGCAGGTTTTCACAAAGCTTACCCCTGTGACCTTAAATACAGGTTCAGGTAATTTCTTTTCCTTAAATTTGCTAGGCTTCATCCCAGAAACATACTGACAAATATTAAATTCTAGGCACTTTTATTTGAGAAATCATCTGAAAATTTTACATATTTGATCCCCCCCACCCCCAACCCCCCCAAAAAAAGGGAGCTTGAAAGTTGGTTAATATAAGTTTTTTTTAACGTAAATATCCATTTCAGAAAGCTACCAGCCAAATTTTATGACTATATGCCTTTCATTTCTTCCAAAGATGCTATTTAAAAGAAAGTTGATGCTCTAACCATGCGACATAATGATGGATGAAGAAAAGGAAGCTTTATCATCCATTTCCTGTGTGACATAGTGATGCATGATGGGAAGGAAGTTTTGTTGGCAACTTCCTGTACCTGTGCAGAAGGTGTGAGTATAGGTTGCATTACTAGCTACAGCTTGGGGGTAATTCCTTTAAGTCGAATGGTAGAGTGTCTGGCTAGAGACCAATGGGTCGCTACTTCATCCCTATGACATCATGTATGACATAGTGATGAATCATAGGAAGGGAGTTTTGCAAGTCATTTATTGTACCTGGGTAACATAGTGAGGTGTGATTGGCAGGAAATAAGTTTTGTCAGCCATTCCTTTAGATGTCTGCACTGTAGCAATGTTTGGGTTGATCAGTACAGTTTGGATTCTCTCCTCACGAAGTGCTTTTAATGCCTAGAAAATAAAAACATGTGATGTACATTTGTAGATTTACTGACTGATCAGACCAGGTAAACTATACACAGAACTCCTAAAAAATAACTACCTTTATAAGGTTTCCAACAGTCTTAAATTTCCTATACAAACTATAACGCTAGCTGTGATCCACAGTAGTCAAATTCTTCTAATTCTAAACAAAGTTCTTTTAATATCCAACCAACAGTTCTAAATTTCCTGTACAAACAGTAAGCTTATCCGTGATCCTTGGAATTCTAATTCCTCTAAATATCAGTTCTGAATTTCCTGTACAAACAGTAAGTTTATCCGTGATCCTTGGAATTCTAATTCCTCTAAATATCCAACCAACAGTTCTAAATTTCTTATAGAAATAGCGAACTTACCTGTGATCCCGAGTAGTCAAATTCTCCTGCCTGTCCAATAGACAGTCCTCCTGACCCCAGAATAAGAACCTTTTTTGGCCTCATGGTCAGTGGGGGAGGCACAGTGACTGGCGTCTGCAGAGTCATGTACAAGCGTTCAGACACTGAGGGACTACAATGGTAAAACAGTAAACATTTTAAAAATGTCAAGAAAAGTGACTCACTAATGATAAAGCAAGATTCAGGAAAAAAATGGACAGCACAATGATATATAATACAAATTTTTACACCTTCTTTTTCACTGTGACATCAACTTCCAATACTAGTATAATAACGTATTTTGTAACATTACTACCCTGACATCAGCATAAAGACCCTTAAATATTCAAACTGTTGTTATCCTAATGTAATATGACCTAGACAAGCTGTAATTGACTTTAAGTTCACATGATGTTGTTGCTTTATGACGTCATACTTTTTTACAGTGTCACTTAAGAAAGACATGTAATGTGGCAATAAAAATTTCAATCTTGGCTAACATCCTAACATACATCTCCCCAATTGGGCACTGCCACTCCTACCCCAGGGGGCCAAGATGTAAAAGTTTATACAACATTGATTTCCCTTCACCCAAGAATGCTTAAGATCAAAATTGGACAATATCCATTCATTTCACTGTAGGATTTCTAAGAATTTGTTCTAATTCCCTTTTTCGGCCCTGTCCCTCAGGCTCTTAGCGGCTGAGAACCACAATTTATACAAACTTGGTACCCATGGATGCTTCTCACCAAATTTATGAAACATTTGTTCAGTAATTGATGATTTGTAGTGATTTCTAGTAAAAAGCTGAGAGACAACAAACAGACAGATGCCAGGCGCTGCACCATGGCATTAGATCACCAGTCTTTTGGACCAGATGAATTGAAAACTTGACACAAATTTTCCATTTTACATCACAACAGCAACAAGACATCTGAAAAAGACCTATGGGAACACCAGTATTTAGTCCTCATTTGTTCTTTAAAAATTGGATCCCTTCTTTTCTTACCTCCATTTTATTCTTGATTAAATGAAATTGAAAATTCCTCTTAAAAATAGCAATTATAATCTTTAATTGTCAAATCCAAGATAGTCGCCTGCCAGCCAATTTGCTCACCTGATCAGTTAAAAAATCAAAAGGGCAAAACTGTGAACCAAGGAGAAGCTACATATGAAATTTGAGAAAGATCCATCCACTACTTCTCAAGAAACATACATATAAAACTTTGATTGTCAAAATCCAAGATGACCATCTATCAGCCATCTGATAATGAAAAGAGTACAAAGAGAGAACAAGGGGAATCTGATATGAAATCTGAGAAAGATCCATCCAGTATTTCTTGAGTAACAGCAAAGACAAACTTTGATTGTCAAAATTAAGATGGCTGTTTGTTAGCCATTTTGTTTATCTGATCTGTTCACAAGTCGAAAGGGCACAACTACAGACAAAGGGGAACCTACATATGTACTGTAAGAAAGATCCATCTACCTCACAAAAAAGGGAGAATCAGTGAAAATGATAAATGCTCCCTGAAAACAACTTTATTGGACACAAAATGAAAAAAGGGCAAAAAATCTGTAATAAAAGAGGTTTAAGGCACTGAATCTGGTACTGACACATCAACTTAGTTTATCAATATATACACCATTATCCTTACTTAAATGAAGCAAAGTTATGCTCCAGATGCCAAATTTCAATGAAGGGCAATAACTCTGTAATTAAAGGTTTGTTGGCCCTAAATCTGATACACTGCAAACACACTCAGTATAACCAATGTATTAACTGTGTTTCATTATCCTATCTTAAATGAAAGCAAAGTTGTGCTTTGAACATGCAAGTTCTCACAAAGGGCAATAACTCTGTAATTAATGGGTTGCGGTCCTGACTTGAGTACACTACACATTGTCTTATTATGACCAATGTATATACCAAGTTTCATTCACTGAGTTTAAATACATGCTATGTTATGGCTCTGGACATGAAATGACTGACAAGGTGGCAACCATATGCTCCCCCGAGAATTTCCAGGGAATATAAAAGAAGTCTATTTCGCACTTAACATCAGTCAGATAAAAGGAGCATTTTCACTTACGTTCATTTCAACAAGAGGCCTGGTAGCCTTGACGGTCACCTGAGATAAGCAATATTGAATATAAAGTTTAAAGAGTACTATGTAGCTTTCAAGTGTCATGAAACAGAAATTGTGACATTGATTACAGTAAGCCAATGTTAATTTATGCATAACATCAAAACTGTAAGTAATACTATAGCAATAATACTTACAAAATTATATTCATGGGAAATGACAACCTTATGCTTAAAACTGCATTTTTCTACAAAAATTAGAGTAAACTTAACCTCCTCCCCAGGGAGAAATGCGATACCTATTTTGGTAAAGCACCTTAAGACACTTCCATTAGTGAAGAACATTTGATTCTACAACATCTGGCTGTTGAGAAGAAGGTTTTTGAAATCTGAATCATTTGACCATTGGATATTAAATAAGTTATACTTGACAGTCACCGGAGATAAGCAATAAAGGTTAAATGGTAGCTTTTAAGTGTCATGAAAAAGAAATTGTGACGCTGAATATAGTAAGCCAGTGTCAATGCATGCATATCATTAAAACTGTCATCCTATACTTATAATTCTAATAATAATTTCCAGTATAATGTTAGATTAAAAACTGCAATTTTTCTATGAAAACTACATTACATTTTAAACAAGAGGCCCTTAGGCCTTAACCATCATCTGACTATAAAGACCTATATATGAAAGAGGCCAAACAGGCCTATAATAAATTGCTCAACTACTTTACAGCTTACATAGAAGACATTGTTGGTTCATCAGGACATTTTTTGCAAACTTAAAAATCATATACTTTATGAATGCACGACAATTGCCATTACTCTGGATGTATTGCTTGTTGGAAAAGCAAGCTACAGGCCCAATATCAAGACCCTTGGCCTTTCAGTTACCGAAAAGAATTTGCTTAAGCATTTCAACACATTTTGGCCCAGTGACCTTGAAAGTTGGTTAAATATCCACACCCTGGGCCTTTTGGTTCTTGAGAAGAAGCTATTTAAATATTTCAACAGATTTGATACCTGTGACCTAGAAAGTGGGTCAATGTCATTCATATTAACAAAGTTGGTAGCTCTCCATCCTAGCATGCTACAGGCCAAATATCAGTAACCTGGTTCTTTTGATTAATAAGAAGTCATTTATACATTTCAACATATTTGGTCCCTATGACCTTGAAAGTAAGTCAAGGTCAGTCATATTAATAGACTTGGTAGCCCTTCATCCCATCATGCTACAGGCCCATTATCAGCATCCTGGGCCTTTTGGTCTTTGAGAAGAAGTCATTAAAAGATTTTGACATACTTGACCTCTATAACCTTGAAAGCAGGTCAAGTTACTCATATCAACAAACTTGGTAGCCCTTTTTACCATCAAGCTACAGACCCAATATCAAAACCCTGGGACTTTTGGTTTTTGAGAAGTAATTTGAATGGACAGATGATGACAGACCAAATATGATGGCTATGGATCATCCGGACCCTTTGGGTCAGATGACATAACGAAAAAAAAAAAAAAAATGGGCCGCATTGCTCACCTGGTATATACATACCAGTCAAATATCTTGCCTCTAGGCCTGTTTGTTCATGAGTATAAGCTGTTTTAATGTTTTCAACTAATTTGACCTCTGTGACCTTCATTAAAGTCATGATAATTTCTTTTCGCAAACTTTGCCAGGCTTCATTCTAGGAATATACCAGCTAAATATCAAAACATTTGGTCCATTTATTATTGAGAAGAAGCTGTTGACACCAGGTGAGCTAATAAAAGATTTGGTGACCTCAACCACCGCTTATCATTACTTGGAAAAAATAAATCAACATTGTAAATCACACTACAAAAGCAACCTATCTATTCCTGGTAAGAAAAACATTTCAACAATTCAACAAATTACCTTCACACACAGGAAGTATTCCAGCTGTTATTATGTTAATAACACAAATAGAATAACTACTACAAATAATTCAAAAACAATAGCACAGAGTACAAAACCACACACTAAAGAACTGTTATATAAGTATGTTGTAACCAATAATTATCGTAAACATCATACATGTCAATTTTAAATGCATGACTGATTAAGCATAAAGCTTGACAATATGACAAAAGAACAGTGCAGGCAGAGGTATGTAGATTGATCATTAAATACGTATTGAAAAACCTATCCATGACTGCTCCAAGTGACAATCGGAATACACAAATCCTGTGTCCACACATTACTGGTACATTATACGGTAAGTAATTCTTGTATCTATTATAAAATATCTGCTGAAAAGAACAGTGCAGGCAGTGGTATGTAGATTGATCATTAAATACGTATTGAAAAACCTATCCATGACTGCTCCAAGTGACTATCAGAATACACAAATCCTGTGTCCACACATTACTGGTACATTATATGGTAAGTAATTCATGTATCTATTATAAAATATCTGCTGAAAGCAATAATAGTAAAAGTATTTCATAAACAGTATACATTTTTTTTCCTCTTTGATTTTGTTCTCAATATAAAACAGCATTTCAAGTAATGACAATTATCATTGTGGTAGCTAAAATTGTTTTTCATTTCAGTAATAATTACCATAACTTTAGTATGCAAATACAGTACCTACACCCATCTTTGTATCCCAACAACAAAAGATTCAAAAGAAAAACAATCCCGCCCTCCCTACGATCCACGAGCCATCACGGCAGGAATGCAGAGTGATCTCCCTTCCTCTTACCTTTATGGCTGCCGACGAGTGCGGAGGTGTCTGAGCTAAGTGCTTTTCTTACTCCTTCTCTTCGTACTGCCATTGTCGTTTGAGTATATTGTTACTCTATTAGTAGTCTATAAACCCATCTCCCAACTTATATTGTGAAATTAAGTATTGTCATTTGTTTATTTTGACCGTATTTCCGGCCGTTTTTTCCTCCACGTATTCGAGTGCGTGACTACTTGTCTCGTTGCTCGGATTTGCGTGAAGTTGGAATTTGTTTTCTTGCTGCTTTGTCGGCCGTGTTGTACGGCCGTTTTATTTATGCAGTGCAATCTTGCTGCGTACGGTAGG